CTGAAGACCCGATGACCTTCTTGGCTCTCGCGACCTCCTGCGGGTAAAGAAGGCCGCCGGCCAGGAACGGATGAGGGGTGAGGGAGGTTTTTGTTTCCCTCCACGCTACAGCAAGAAACAAGACTACTCCAACAGTGTGGGACCTGTCAGAGCTCTCGGCTTGCAATTCACCAGCTAGAATACGAAACCGTCGAGGTCGAAACTGTCGAGCGGGTCGTCGCTGCCATCATCGGCGCACTCCAGGGGTGAGGGAGGAGAGGGAGGAGAGGATGGGCAAGCTGGGCAAGGCTACGAGGGGAAGCAAGGGGATGGGTGGGAAGGTCGGGCGGGGGAGGGGGGCGGACATCCCTCACAAACAAGAATACGCTCTGGCGGATCTCGTCACTCAGATGCGCTGGAGCGCGACGGGGCCACCGTCGAAATCGGGAATGTCGATCTGATCTTTCCTCTTGTTATCCGCCTTGGCGCGCGGAGCGCGCCAGGGACGGCGCCAGAGGCGCCGCCAGACTGGGCGACTCCAAGGGGTCTGCGCGAACCTCCGAAAGTTAATGTTTACGCAATTGTTACTTCTTCGAATTTCTCTTTGGCGTCGCTTGATGAGACACATGGGGGGGGAAGAAAGGTGCACTTCTCCGCCCCTAAAGGCCCCGCTCGGACACGAAAGGGGTCCTTTCGGAGCCCTGAGGGCCCCCTTTCCTGCAGCCCTCGCTGCCCTTCATGTAATAACACTGCGCGACGCCCAATTCTCCTCCTCGGTCCGCCTCCCCCTCCTTTTGCGAATATCGCGGGGGGGGGGGGGGGAATGGGGCAGGGGGAGGCCCTGGAACACAGCGCGGGGCGGCTGATTAGAGCCATCCCGGGGAGGGGGGGGGGCACATGAGGCGGATGGGGATGGGGCAGGGGGAGGGCAGTGCTGGGGGAAGAGGGGGGGGAAGAGAAGTCGAGGGGGAAGTGGAGTGGGAGAGAAGAGGAGAGAAGGTAAATAGAAGGAGTAGTAGGAAAAGGGAAGGATACTGGAAAGATAATGGATGGATGGGCACAAGGAGACACGGGAATGGATAATGGATGGGGAGAATATATATATATATATGTATATATATATATATATATATATGCGGGGTGAAGAGGGCGAAGAGGGGGAGGGAAGGGACAAGAGGCGAGTCCTTGAGAGGAGAGGGCAAAGGAGGAACGGAGAAGGAAGAGATGATATGGGGAGAAGAGAGGAGCCGGGCGAGAATCTGGGGGATAACGATGGCATTCGATTTTTTGTGGGGGGTCTTGCTGACCAATATCATTCCCCCCCTCCTCCTGCTCCTGCTCCTCCTCCTCCTCCGTACCTCAGTGCCTCCAGGCAAGTCGCCGCTCACGAGAGGCCAAAGACCCCATGCGCTCCTTCTCCTCCTCCTCCTCGTCCTCCTCCTCCTCCTCGTCCTCCTCCTACTCCTCCTCCTCCTCCGTCTGCACCTCCTTTCTTCTCCTTCTCAATCTCATCCTCACGCACTCCATTTCCTCCCCCCCGCGCGTCCTCCCCGTCTGGAGCTGACACCAGCGTTACCGAAAGAAGGGGTCGTTGAGCAGTTTCTGACCAGCCACATGTGTTCCTTTCTACTCCTTCCCCTTTGCCACGTGGAAGGGAGGAAGGGCACGATGGACCGGAAGGGGACTTTCCATTTCCTCCCCCACGCGACTCCTCCCCGTCTGGAGGTGACACCAGTGTTGCCGAAAGATGGGGCCCTCGAGCAGTTCCTGACCAGCCGCATGTGTTCATTTTCTCCTCCTTCTCCTTTGCCGCGCGGGAAGAAGGGCCCAATGGCCGGGAAGGGACACTTCCAATTTCCTCCCCCCCGCGCCCCCTCCCCGTCTGGAGGTGACAAAGAAGGGACCGTTGAGCAATTTCTGATCAACCACATGTGTGCAATTCTCCTTTTTCCCCTTTGTCGCGTGGGAAGAAGGGCCCGATGGCCCAGAAGGGAGACTTCCCATTTCCTCCCCCCCGCGCCTCCTCCCCGTCTGGAGGTGACACCAGTGTTGCCGAAAGATGGGGCCGTTGAGCAGTTCCTGACCAGCCACACGTGTGCCTCTTCTCCTCCTTCTCCTTTGCCGCGTGGGAAGAAAGGCCCAATGGCCCAGACGGGAGACTTCCCATTTCCTCCCTCCCGCGCCCCCTCCCCGTCTGGAGGTGACACCAGTGTTGCCGAAGGAAGGGGCCGTTGAGCAATTCCTGATCAACCACATGTGTTCCTTTTCTCCTCCTTCTCCTTTGCCGCGTGGGAGAAAGGGCCCAATGGCCCGGACGGGAGACTTCCCATTTCCTCCCTCCCGCGCCCCCCCCCCGTCTGGAGCTGACACCAGTGTTGCCGAAAGATGGGGCCGTCGAGCAGTTTCTGACCAGCCTCTCGTGTGCATTTCTCCTCCGTCTCCTTTGCCGCGCGGGAGGAAAGGCCCAATGGCCTGGACGGGAGACTTCCCATTTCCTCCCCCCCGCGCCCCCTCCCCGTCTGGATGGAGCTGACACCATGTGTTGCCGAAAGATGGGGCCGTTGAGCAATTTCTGACCAGCCACAAGTGTGCCTCTTCTCCTCCTTCTCCTTTGCCGCGCGGGAGGAAGGGCCCGATGGCCCCGAAGGGGGACTGCCCAAGCCGCCCGTTGCCACCCGGCGAGATGCAGGGAAGGCTGGAGCCCCCTGGCCACTCGCTGTCCTCTGGCTGCCCACGAGTATCCCGTTCCTGCTGTCCAGAACAGTACTGCCGTTGCGCCACATGCGAAGATTTTTGTGGTGACGGTCCTCGCACGTTGAAGGACCCTTTGTGTCCCCCTACTGCCGCCAAGGGGCGTGATTCACTACAGTCGGGGCGTTGACCCAAGGAACCCCAAATAAGGAACGGGGCCCCTTTCTCCCATAAGTTGAACTTCGATTTCCCATGGAAAACCTCAGGAAGACAGAAGGCAACCAGTAGAACAATCAAGGAACACCGAGCCCCTCCCCAACGAAAAGGGTTCCTTCTGCAGGGCCCCAGCTGTAGTTTTCCAGGTTGTCCCGAGGATCGCCCCCTCAAGTCGGGAATGGTTTTCTCCGTTCAGGGTTACAGTGAAAACGTACAGTCGAGGCGTTGACCTAAGGAACCCTAAATAAGGAACCAGGCCCCTATTTACCATAAGTTGAACTTCGATTTCGTGTCGAAGACCAAGGCAAGCTGCGACACAATTAAGGAACACGGAGCCCCTCCCCAACGAAAAGGGTTCCTTCTTCAGGGCCCCGACTGTATCTTCAGAATAGAATGGGTGGTCAGGGCGCAAGACCTTGGGAGGCCGAAACTGGAGCTCCTCGGGTGGTGGGCGACCCGTGAAAACGCCAAAGGACGGGCCGCAGAGGCAAAGACACGAGCGCACTCCAGAGCAAGGCGCGCGCGTCCTTACCATGCCCGTGCGCCCAGATCTATTTGGAGTCCCGGAACGGTGCGGTGACAGACCGTGCGGTGATCTCGAAATCCCCCAAGACCTCACCGCACGGTCCGTCACCGCACGGTCTTGTGACCTCGGACGCCCCAGTCGCCCGAGACGTCCTCGGAGAACGACCCGAGTCCCGAAACCGTGCGGTGACCCCGAATCCCCACCGACTCACCGCACGGTGTGGTCACCGCCCCGTTTGGGGACCCCCGAATCTAACAAAGTGGCCACCGCACGTTTGCCGTGGCCGCAGCCGTACCTCTCCTGCCCTTCCACCCGCTCTTCGCGCTCCGCGCCGCAGCGCGCCGCGGAGCCCCCGGAGCCCGATCCCGAAGGGGGAGGGAGGAGGGGAGGGAGTGCGCATAAGAAGCACAAGGGGACGACGGCGATTGGAAGCCCCCTAAACCAGGGGGGGAGATCTCAGGTCGTGATCTGGGATCCCCAAGGAGTCAGCGCCGGCTCTGTGACTGCTGGACCCACCAAAGCTCGGAACACCCTCGACAAACCACGAATTCCCAAACCGGGTGGTAACACCAAATCGCCCGAGACTTACCGCCAGGTGTTGTCACCACCACGTCTGTGGAATACCAAGACGAGGGTAGGGGAGGAGCGCCCAGGATCCAGGTGAGTGGTGCGGGGGGGGGGGTCCACATCCTTCCAGCCTCCCTGCGCTCAAGATCGCACTACCTCCCATCCCCCCCCCGCCCCTCTCTCATCCCGTCGCCTCCACGCTCCTCCCCAATGGGACGAGGAACCCTCAAATCCCCAGCCCCGCCCGACCCATGTCCGCTATCCATGCATACCCACCCGTTGGAAGAAACATGCAGACACATGAACTAGGACGGCCGAAAAAACAGATTGCGTTCGGGCCCGCCCAAAGAATGACACACACACAACAAACACATGTATATCACATAGAAAGACGCTTGACGTTGATCTGGGAACCGGGACTCCCAAAATACGTACTTTCAACGACTGGCGCGAACTCCCTCAAGGCCCCTTCTGCTCTACTCGGCCTCCTCCCTGTTCAGCTCACGCCGTCCCGTCATCCAACGCATCCCGCCTCCGCTCCCCGCCTCCTCCTCGCGCATGTGTGCTCACCCTCCTCGGCCTTTGTTTGTCTCTGTCCCACGTGTCGCCGCTGCTGCCGCCGCCGCTGCTGCCCCTCCCCCCCCCGCCCTTTTGCCCGACGATCTCTGCCCCCGCCGCCACGGATCCTCGGCGGACTTGTCGCAGAGCTTCCTCCTTCCGCGCACGCGTGGTCTTGATGCGAGTGCATGGGGGAGGGATGCGTGACCTGGGAAGTCCCAGGTAAACAATGGCGAACTGATCAGGAGGAACAGTGGGGGGATGGAACAGTTGGGGTAGGAGCAGGACGAGGAGGATGAGCATATGGGGATGAAGGGGCGGAGATCGGCGAGGAGGGTGGTGGTGGTGGTCACTGCGTGAGGGAAACAAGCCCCGAGCAGAGCAACATGCACCCCGACCACGGCGACGCCGACGACGAAAGAAACAAGGCGCGCAGACGATCCGCAGCGAAGTCGGTGCTGCAACCTCCGCTGAGCACAAGCCCGACTTGTCTGGCTGATGCTCTGGGGCGGGCGGCGAGGATGCGGAGACGGAGGGACAGGAGGAACAGGGAGCAGAGCAGGGAGCAGGAGGTGAGGGGGGATGAAGGTGCGGAGATCGGCGAGAAGGAGGGATGAGGAGGGAGGACCCAGAGCCCCGCCGTCATGCTTGTTTCACAGCGTCGATCCCCAGAGGTCTCGACGCACATTCCCCTGGATCGGCGCTTCATCCCGAGTCGTTCTTTTTGACGCCCCCGAGGCCTGGAGGGGGCCCCCACAGGCCCAAAAGAGCGAAAGCCCTTCGTCGTGATTTGTGCCATGACTCGAGGAAATCTGGGGAGCCGTCCTCCTCCTCCTCCTCCTCCTCCTCCTCCGCCTCCTCCTCCTCCTCGCAGGGAGGAGGGGGATGGGGGGCGAGGGGGTGATGGCGGCGGGCCCAGGAAGGACGGGAGCGCGCGGGTGGCGGCGACGAGGGCAGGGAGGGCGGCACGCGCGAGAGAAGGGACGCCCGGGCTCTGGGGGGAGCACGACGGCGAGGACCGGGAGCAGGACGAGGATGACGGCAATGGGGTCCTCCTGGATGGGGACCAAGCAGATGGGTTCCAAGGATCCGCGCCGCATCGCAAATGCATCGGCAGTGTATCCGCGATGCACTGGCGATGCATCGGCGACGTCGGCGTCGCATCCGCGCCATCGGCGTGGGGAAAATCGGGCTCCGCATCGAGCCGCATCGCCGGTGCATCGGCGATGACGGGGCTTTCGCGAGCGGTCAGGGCGCCCAACATGCCCAACGATAGGCCCCAAGAGAACCACCGAATATGGCCCAAGAAACCCCCCCCCCCCTAGATGGATGGCTCAAGAAAACAAAGGATGGTTAGAGATGGCTTCCGACATGCCTCCAAGAAACCCTAGAGGAGCACAGGCAGGCTCTTAGTGCTCTCGGAGCCCCTTGAGGCCTTCCCCCAATAGGCCCAGATCCGACCCACCGAACAACCATCAATCATTTGTGACTTCTCGCCTGTTCGCTTCGGACTTTGAAGCCCCAAGCTGGCCCGCGAGAGCCCGAAAATGGGCCCAGGCGGCCTCCAATACGGTCCCAAGAGCGCACAGGAGCGACCCCAACGACGCCCCAATAGGCCCCAGGAGGTGATTATGATGGCCCCAGGGGGGCACGAGAAACCGTTGACCCCGCCTCCCTCCTCTTCGGATCGTTGGCCCACAGAGGCCCCTGCGGCTCCCAAGAGGCCCCGCACGAGGGCCCCACGAGAGCCCCAAGACTCCCCCACAAGAGCCCCACGATGACCCCCTGACACTGCAAAATAGCCCCGAGCGGGCGCCAAGATGGCGCAAGAGAGCCCGACGAGGATTTGGGATGCCCTCCATACCATCCCGAGATAGCGATCAGAGTCTTTCTTGTCCTCCTCCTGCTCCTAATTACTCGTCTTCGTCCTCTTCCGCCTCGCCTTCGTCGTCCTCTTCGTCCTCGTCCTCGTCCTCATCCTCGTCCTTCTGGGTCTGATCAGACTCATACCGAACTTGTTTCACTGCATGTTTCTACACGGCCCTTATCAAGGCATCTCGCCTGAACATTGTTTGTGGATGGGCGGGCGGGCATATCCGAAGCTTCAAGAATTACTGCAATGCCATTATCCCGAGACCCTTTCCGTTTGTACATTACAACGCGCTCGCGTCACCGAGGCCACAACCTTCACCGAACTACAAAGAAACTGCGACCCCAAAGCCACAAACCCATGTGAATTGTGACACGTTCGCGCTCCAGAGGCCACAACACCTCGTGACTTACAGTCCGATCAAGACTCCCAAGGCCGAAACCAACTGTAAAATACGACGCGGTCTCGCTCCCGAGGCAACAGGCCCAGGCAACGTACTACAAACTCGCGCTAGGCATTCACCAATTCCTTGTACATTTCTGTAGATCCGAGCCTCCCCCTCCACCCAGACCCCGAAGCCACTCGACGGATGCTGCCCCAAAGCGCCACCCAGAACAAACAACTGCATGTTTCTGAATTGGGAGGATGTGTTGGTGGTACGCCCCCCCCGCTGTTTGCTCCAAACTCTGCCCTGTACCGTAGGCCACGAATTCACTACACTAGCTAAGGATGTGCGCTCCAGGAGCCGCGGACCCTTCTAAATCATAATGTAACCGCGCTCCCGAGGCCACCACCTCTTACAACTTACTACATGTACGCGCAACCAACACTCAACATCCAACCCACATCATCTGCGATCCATCTAACCAAGATACTTGGAGGACAAACCCATCCGCCGAGCCGCAAACAAACCTGCCTTGAAGCCAACCAACTAGCCATCGGAGCAAGCGCAGCCACGCGATCAAAGGGCGAAGCCAGTCATCCATTCATTCATTCACACACATGCACGCACGTACATACGAATACCCATATGTGCCCTTGCATGTGTATACGTATATACAGTTGCGCTGGCCAGCGGTGACCCCAAGCAGTGAGCATAAGCTGCATGTACAAGACATGATGGAAGCAGTGTGGTGGAAGCTATGTGGTGGAAGCACTGTGATGCAAGATGTGCAGGGTGGTGATAACTATGTGAAGGAAACGGTGCTGTATAGGCTTTGCGGCGCAAGCAACGTGGTGCAAGCGGGGTGGAGCACGCTGTGTGTTGCACGCTGTGTGCTGCAAACGATGTGGTGGGCACTACAGTCGGGGCCTTGACCTCAGGAGCCCTAAATAAGGAACGAGGCCGCCTTTTCCCATAAGTTCAACCTCGATTCCCCATGGAAAACCTCTAAGGACAACCCGAGGCAAACTGTAAAACAATCAAGGTACACCGAGCCCCTCCCCAACGAAAAGGGTTCCTTCTCCAGCGCCCCGACTGTATGTGGGTGTGCGCAGGAACGATAAATAAGGAACGAAACCCCTTTTTTGTCCCAAGGAGTAACGCATAAGGAGCGATACATAATAGATAGCGCATCAGGTACTGTAAACACTGCATGTAACATCTAAGGAACGACCGATCCCCTTGTGAAAAGTAAGTGTTCCTTAGTCAAGCCGCTCACTGTGTGTGTGGGTGGGCGCAATGTGGTGCAGGCCGTATGCGATCCAACCAACCGGCTGGGTGCCCACGAGGCGCCCACGGGCGGCGACCAGGCAGACCATCCGGATACGAAGGACAACCGCACGAGGCGCCCACCGACGACGGCCTCACCGCGAAGCGCAGGCAGCTCATCCAAAATCAGACAAAGCACTCCGAGTGCAGGCACGGCTCCGGGGCACGCGTGCAGGCATTACTCGGCGGTGGACAAACCTCCCTTTCATAGACCTCCCCTTAGTGAAAACGGCCTGGGACCGAAACCGAGGGACCTGGACCCGCAAAAATGACGGCCGCGACGCCCTCTCGCGAGCGGAAAACGGCCAATTCCTTAATCGACGTGTCAGGGCAGGAGGTCTGTCCGACCTCGAATTACGCACATGCAAACACTAGAGGAGCAACACACACACACACACATCTCTCGGAGGCCCGTGGGGATTCCTTGGATCGGCGCTGGAGCCTCCCCCCCCCCGAAGGCGAGGCGGAGGAGGAGGAGGAGGCGGCGGCGGCGGCCCGAAGGAGCGGCGGAACCGCGAAGGGAGCGTGGGCGGAGAGGTCGGCGCGGGAGCTTGGCGACAGAGCTCCGGAGCGCGCCCAGCTTGCCCATCACGCCCACGCTGAAGTTCTTCGGGCAGGCGCCGCAGGTGAGCATGCAATTCTGCCGCACCTGGTCCTCGGGGGTGATGCCGAGGGGGGGTCTACCCATCGGTCGGAAGAAGTAGGCAGAAACATGAAGTAGGAAGGCGTTGGAACTGGATCGGGTGTCCGCCCGCTCCCCGAAGAGGACGGAAAAGGTGAAGCCACTCGAGAAGTAGGAGGGCGCTCAAAGTAGATTGGAATATGGAAATCCAAACATACTTACTTCCAACGACATATGGGTCCATGCCAACCACATTGGGGACGGGCTGAGGGTGGGAAACATTGACCTGAAATCGGCGAAGCATCGCCGATACATGGGCGATAGGCCCCCGATGGCGAGTCGGTGCGTTCCTGAGCGAGGCGGGATATCGGGCCCTTAGCGGCGATCAATGGGCGATTGGAGGTCGATTGCAGCCCCCCCTGAGGCTATCCCTCCCGAACGGTGCCCCTGAGGATGGGGGTGGGTGGGTGCGGAAAGGAGGACAGGCGCTAGGGGTGCGGAAAAGGGGGGGCGGCAAGGAGGGACCTTGGGGGAAGGCACGGTGAGGGTGCCGGGGCAGGTTTGGGGGGAGGGGGCAGAAATTGGAAACAGGGGATGGCGAGGCAGGTCGGCCACACTCATGAGCACTCAGGAGGAACATCCTTGGCCCAAGCGGAGGGAGACGTACCATCTGCAGCGACGCTGCTTGTTGCAGCTGGGTCAGCTGGCAAGGAGCGTCTTGAACGGCACAGAGCGAGCTATGCTTGGCACCATCCTGGCTGCTCAAGTGCGCTGGTCGAACTCCTGCGGCCCGTGCAGGTGGCAGGCGCACCGTCGCCGGCGCGCGGGCCCTAAAAAGGACCCGTGGGCAAAGACTACCCGAATCACTGCTCCAAGCGCATCTCATATTCATCGATTTCCTGTTTTTCTCCGCGGCGAAGATCACCCAATCGCACTGCCATCAGACAAAGCGGCAATGCACCACCTCCACCACATACGGCGAGAAAGGGACGCATGTCATGAACATCAACGCACCTGCCAAGCGCTACAACAGGCAGGACGGCGCCTCCTCCCTGAGGGTTGTGGTAGCTCTGTTGGGTGGCGCTCGAGGTCTTTCTCGCTCTCTGGCACGTTCGCCACAAAGGAGCCTCGAACCACAAACCATGAGAAGTACTGGGGTGGCGCTCGAGGCCTGCTTCGCCCTCTGCCAGAAAGGCAAACATGAACACTCGCCATAATCACGGGGGGGCGGGGAGAAGGAACACCTGACTGCCAGGGGAACGGCCCCGGGCGATCCGCTCCTGTGTGTCCTCCCGGTCGCACCAGCCGTACGTCCTGTACCGGGTGCATGTGAACGTGTCGAAATTGTCCGCGCAGTCCTTCTCTCCACCGCACGTCCTCCCGCCCTTCTCCTTACCCCCCTCCCCTTCATTCTTTTCGTCTCCCCCTCCTCCACCTCCTCTTCTCTCGTCTTCACCATGATTGCCCTCTTGCCATCGTCCTCCTCCTCCTCTTCCTCCTACTTCCCGTCCTCCCCATCTTCCAATCCTCGTCATCGTCCTCCCCATCTCCGTCCTTCTAAACTCCTTAACCGTGCCCTTTCCATTTTGACCTTCCCCCCCCTCCGCCTCCCCTGTCCCCCCCCCCTGCTCCCTCTCCCAAAAGAACGCATTGCTGTGGAAACGTCTCCAACCACTCCCCAGCCTTCACACATCCTTCTTCTATCCATCCTTATCGTTCTCCTCCCCTTCCCCCTCCTCCCCTGCATCCGCCTCCTCGCCTTCCCCCACTCCTCCTTATCCTCGCTCTCTTCTTCTTGCTCCTTCTCCCTTCGCGTCCGCTCCCATCCCTCCTCCTCCTCCTCCTCCTCCTCCTCCTAATCCTCATCCTCCTCCTCCCCTTCCCCCCTCCTCTCGCGCCTTCTCCTCTCAGGCCCTTCCTCCCTCTCCTCCTCCTCGTGCGCCACCCACCTTCTCTTCTCCCACTCCCGCTCTCCTTCCCCTCAGCCATGCCCCACCTCCTCTTCCTGTCGGGGGCGACGATGAGGGCGAATAGCCTAAGGGGAGAGCAATTCCCGTATTCGCGGGGGAGCCCCACCGAAGACATCGATCATCGGCGCCCCTGGATACATGCACAGTCGACCCGTACAATAGGCACGCACGAGAAGGATGCAAGGGCCTTGGAAGACCGTGTCGACACTTCGCGGGCTAGGCGAGGAAAGCGGCCAAGGATGGACCGAGGCGGCAAGAATGCAAAACTACCCTGGGGAAGGCTGCCCCTCCTTACGAAGCGGGTTGACTGCCTTGCTCCCCCCGTGGACTGTTCGCCCCTCTCGTCGCCTCCGACCCTGCCCCTTCCCCTCGGGGGCGCACTGACCCGGGTCAATCCAGACCCGGGTCAGCCAGGCCCTCCGAAGCCCTGAAAACATCCTGCAAACTCCTGCAGGATCCTGCGCCCAAGCCCGGGTCAGTGCGCCTCTGGCCCTGAAGATCCGGCGCTCTGACTGACCTCCGTTTGCATCGACCCCCGTCCCTCGAGCCCCGACGCGGCTGCTCCCTCTCGGCCCTGGCCTGGGCCTCTCCTGCTCATCCCCTCCGGCGCCGCCATCTGAGACGAGGCCAGGGCGAGGAGAAGTGCGGGTGAGAAGAATTCTCGCTCTCTCCTCCTCCTCCTCCTCCTCCTCCTCCTCCTCCTCCTGCTCCTCCTCCGCATCGACCCCCGTCCCTTGAGCCCCGACCCCCTCTCCGGCCCCTCGCCCCGGCCTGCTTCGCGGGCGCCGCGGACGAGCAGACGTTGCAGGTGCGCCTGCACTTCGCCTGCGCGCGGCAGGGGCGCCGAGCGCACCGCGGCTGCCGAGGCCCCGCCCGCCGGTCCAACGGCCGTCCTGCTCGATGGTTTCGCCTGCTGCTGCGACCCCTCCTCGCTCCACTCCCCTCCCCTTCTGCCAAACCTCCTCCTCCTCCTCCTCCTCCTCCTCCTCCTCCTCCTCCTCCTCCTCCTCCCGCAACGGCTCTACCCACTTCTTCCCGTAAATAACGGCACTGGTACAACCACTACCACCACGACTAATCTGGCACCCTATCCTCGAGCGCGCACTGGGATGTCCTCCAAATCTCTGGAAACCTCTGCCCTCAGCCGTGATAGTCAAGTATTCAAGGGCCCGAGCCCCATACTGCCTCGGATTCATCGGTGGCGTCCCGCATGCTGGGGCGCGCTCTCGCATGACGTTCTCGGAGCCAAGAGGGCCCCAAGACGGGCAAATAGGGCCCCAGGAGGCGCCCAAGACATTCCAACAGTGCCCTGGGTCGGCTGAAGGGCGCTTCAAGATGCCCAAGATAGCCTCACGGCGACCCAAGAGGCCCCCAAGGTGCCCCCAGAGAGCCTCCCAAAGGGCACCAAAGGACAAAAGCATTGATTTTCCTCTGGTGGTTGAAAAAGTTTGGCGTTCTCGTCTTTTCGAAATCCCAACGGCACACGGGTCCCAAAATATCGCCCCAAGATGCCCCCCAGAAGTGCCCAAGACGGCCTACGAGGTCCGCCAATCTGCCCAAGAGGCCTCCAAGACGGCCCAGGAGGGCCTCAAGAAGGGCCCACAAAAGGCCCCCAGAGGGCCCCCAGAGAGGGAGCACGAACCGACATTTCTAGCCCTCAGCCCCAAGCTGACCGCCGAGACAGCCAGCAGTGCCAAGGGCACCCCCAAAGCCTCAGGAGGCCCCCAAGAGGCCCACATCAAGCTCCAGGAGAGGCCCCCAGAGGCCGCCGGGAGGCCATCCCCCAAACCACATCGAAGAGGCTTCCGAGATGCCTCCCGAGGGATCCCCAGAGGCATCCAAGATGCCACTGACTTGCAACACAGACACGATGGCGGGATGGGCCGAACGCCAGTAGAAGATCAATAGATTGCGGCTTCGATTCTTACGCTTTATCCTTCTCTTTCTGCTATTCCCACGCTGTTTTGCCATGTGGGAGGGGAGGGCTATACACATGTCTAGGTGTATTCATCTGCATTTAAAGGGGGCTGGGGTGAGAAAGATATACACATATACAGAAAGAGGGAGAGATGCAGAAAGAGAGGGAGGGAAACAGAGAAAGAGAGAGAGAGAGATGCCAATCACAAACATAACATAACAACAATGGGAAACAATCCAACCATCCCATGTAACTCCCTCCTGCAACAAACAACACCGTACCCAATTCAAACCGCCAACCGTCACGCGAAGTAGAAGTTACAGGCGTCAAATGTCCCCACGAATTACGTCAGAAACGCAATGTAACTTGATGGTGTACAAAGCTGCATCATGTAATGCATATGATGGGCACGACTCGGAAGCAGGGGCTCGTGGCACTGGAGAGGACGGAGGAGGGGGTTGAGATGGAGAAGAGAGGATGGACCGCACAGTTTAGGGCCCGCGCTGGCTGACGTTTCACGTATTGAAACAACACACAAGCCATATTCAAACAACATTGCGCACACCAGCTTATCGTCTCACCGCGTGTTGTCCCCGTGGCCACCCAGTTTCAGGACACGTGGTAGCTGTTTCCCAACAAATACTCGAGCACATCAAATATACATTAGGAGGCCGACTCGATGGGCCAGCCTGAACTGCCAGCGAAATAATTTGATATCTAAACCATCCGAGGGTGTACGTTCAACCAGTTGCCCATAAAAGCGCCAAATCATGAATGTGTTCGTTGGCCCAAATAGCGCCTGGGTGCAGAAGGAGCGTTTGAGGAACACCAGTGGACTGACCTCGATAACAGCGAGCCCCTTCCGAACCCGAGACATTCCCAAGTCCAGCGTCTCCAATGCACTGCCACGGCATCGATTCTTTCCAGGCCGATCCTTCGCACCATGTCCTCCCGACGCTCGTCCTAGAACCGGGCCCAATCCAACAGAGTGCAGAAACATCTTCCGCTGTACCAAATTTCGTGGTTCATCTGCACACGTGGCATTCCACCAAACGAGAACAGACGAATACGTAAGCTTGCAGGTGTGTCAATATTGGAAGGGTCTGCCCCGAGTACGTGCCCCATGTCATACAACTCCCAACTAATGTCGGAAGACACCAGAAAAACATGCACCGTAATCAACACCTGAATCTTCACGGCGTCGGCGCTGATACCTACATCCGCAAGCTCCTCTTCGAATGCCATGGCCAGTCTCATTGGATCCCTGCGTGGTGTCGCGGGACGAAGTGTGTCATCCGCACATATGACGGTGCGACCCAACCAGAAATTACACACGTGAAGCACTGCTTCGACACACGTGCGGGAGAGCGACGAGTCTCACTGCTGGCGCCTTCCTGCGTCTCGGAGCGGCGAGAAACTCTCACTCGCCCCCCTTGGGTGCGCTTAGATGGCGGACATCATTGCGATGTACGCGTCGCCCACACGTCGGCTCTGCTGCGAGTCAAGCAATGGTGGAAACTCCATTCGATCGAACACATCGCTCCCGGTCTAAGCTCAAACACTGCATGGGCACATTATCCTCGGTCATTTGCTCCAGAAATGCTGGGGGGGGCATCGAGGGCTTCAAAGCAGGCCACGAGGGCCCGAAGAGACCCCAAAGGCGGTCCAAGAGGGCCCCGAGTCGCCGAAACATTGCCCCAAGACGCCCAAGGATGGCCTCCAGACGGCCCAGGATGCCTCCAAGACGCCCCGAAAGGCTTCGAAGATGCCTCCCCCAAGAGGGCCCCAAGAGGCCAAACTCGCTGATTGTTATTTGTTTGTTTTCAAGGTTGTTGGCTTTATCGCCTTTTCGGGCTTCCGACGCTCGGAGACGGCCCAAGAGATCCCAAAGACCGCCCCAAGACGGCCCAAGAAAACCCAAGATGGCGCAAGAGGGCCCCAAGACGCCCCAAGAAGGCCTCAAGACAGCCTAAGAGGGCCCCACGAGGGCCCCAAGAGGGGCCCAAGAAGGGGAACACGAACCGAACATTCCAACTTTCCGCCCCGAGAGCCCCCCCGGAGGCCCCAAACGGGCCCAAAGAAGCTCCCAAGAGTTCCCCAAGAGGCCCAACAGATGCTCCAAGAGGCCCCGAAACAGCCCCCAGAGGCCTTCAAACTGCCTCGGGCAGGCCCCCTAAAGGCTCCTCACGAGATCCGAACGAAAATCCAAGAGGCCTCTGAATCACAACCCATGCACGGTGGCGGGGTGGGCCGAAGGCCACCAGCCACAGGACACCCAGCAGCCGCAACAGCGACTCTCCCCACAAGGGGTCGGCGGTGCGGTGTAAGCTAAAGCATATTTCACCACGGGCGCATTTGGAACGCCATGGACGCGTCGTGCACCGACCGTTTACATCGGAAGCAAGATTGATGTTCAGACTGTTGGCATCCAGCGACCCGCCGATGCGGTGATGCAGCAGGCGCGGAGAGAATCAGTAGTCTACTCTCAACAATGCGATGGGCCTCCGGTGCCGCGGAAGGCCCAAGTGGCATGCCTTCTGGGGTCATTGACCCGCAACCGACATGGCGATGTCTTCAACATTTTATTTCCACGGCGATCTCGATCTCATCCGAGTCCCTCCGCAGGATCTTCTGGCAACGCACGTGTTCCATACCGACTGCGACTATGCAACTGCTGATGCAAACAGCATGCGTGAAAACGGTATTGAAGATCCCATTAAGATAATTGGCGAAATCCTCTGGTCAAACCTGTGCACTATATCCAACTCTACGGCAACAAGCCAAACACGTCTTGCGCCGTTGATCCGGTCGATCGCGACGAACACGTCCAGAATACTCTGGGAACGTTGACTTTTCCGTTTCTGCGGCTTGCCTCAGGATATTATGCTTGATGTCGATGTTCGCTGCTGGGGATAACGCGCCTGACGCCTGCGTTGCATGAGATCTTACAACCGAGGCGATTCCCAAGGCAGAGCCTTGCGCCGCCGCCATTTACTGTACGCGCATCAGCGCATGCTGCGAGCCACACGCGCCCAAGCATGTGCCACAGCTTGCAGCGTCCTGACCACCTTTGCTGAGGAGCAAGGGCCAGGCAGAGGGGGGGGGAAAGGACGTGCGAGGAGCAGATGAAGGATGAGGCGAAAGGACGGGGAGAGAGGACGGGAATTCGCCGACTCCTCAGGCCTTCCTCGGCGTTTGATGCGGCAAGGTCGTGTTATGACGAACGATCGGAGCTCTCCGAAAGCGCAGACCATGAAATGTTGGACGAATGCCAGCCGGCGGCGTTGAACGTTGGTCGCGCAGGGTGCGGTCGTCGCCGAGTCGACACCAAACGAACCTGCAGTGTCGTGCCGGGGCCTGGTGAATATGACTGAACAGGCGCGTTCCACTACTCGCGAAGTAAGTGCTGGCAAACGGCCTGCATCCGCCGCGGGATGTTACGATCCATCACTGAAGGGGCCCTGGGACACACAAATGAATACACACAAATAAAACAAATCCAATATTTTCTCATATGTTCTGGGTTTTCGTCTTCCCCCCCACGGCCCATATTTTCCCAAATTTTCCTGGGGATGGACGATTCCTTGTGCCTGTGTTTTTTCCCCTCCTGAATCACATCGAGGCGGAAATGTTTTTGCTGGCACGTCTGCGAATGGGCACCTTGCGAGTGCCGAAGCGCGCTCGGGGACGTGATGGTGCGGGGGCCGCTTGCACACCCCGCCGAGCGAAGGGCACCGCGGGCCTGCACCGGCCGGTCGGTGCAGAACGCGCTCCCCAGGCTCTTGCACAGCACCGGGTCGTCGTCCTTTTTCACGGGGCGGCGAGGGCCACGTGCCCTTGGCTCCCTCCTGCTCCCTGCCCTTGCCCCTCCCTGCCCTTGCTCCCTGCCCTTGCTCCCTGCCCTGGCTCCCTCCTGCTCCCTGCCCTTGCCCCTCCTGCTCCTGCCCCTCCTGCTCCCTGCCCTTGCTCCCTCCCGCTCCCTCCTGCTCCCTGCCTTTTGCCCCTGCTCTCCACGCGCCGGCACGGGTGTTGTCAGGGCGGGCCCGCGGTTTCGCCAAAGGCGTTCCCAGAACTTCTGCTCCCTGGGAGCTCCATCCCCAGCGGACGCACGGGTAGACCGCGGGCAATAGTTATATCCACATCCAGTGCGTCTTGGAATCTTGGGCTCTCTTCCCCAGAAACCGTAGACGCACTGGATATGGATAAAAATCTGGCCCCAGACTTGATTTTATCCATATCCAGTGCGCCTCGGCGTTGCGGCACCTCTTCCTAAAAAGTCCAAGACGCTCTGGATATGGATATAAGTATCGCCCGCATAGACCGCGGCTAGACTCCAAAATGCGGCTCCCGCTTACGTGCCGCGCACATTTGACTGTACTATACTCGCGTTGGCGTCGCGTCGACAGCATGTTGACGCGTCTGTCTTTCGTGATGCTTCCTCACATCGTCCCACTGGTCCGAGAGGCCGAGAGCCTTGGATCAAAGCACATTCGGAAACATTGGCAATGCATCCGTCGGTCGGAGCAGGGCGAGTTGAAACAGCGGCGGCTCAACATCGGTCCCTCGACCCCTTCTGGGGTACAACCGCACCAGTTTCCCGAGCTGCATCCAGCCGCAGCAACGAGGACGCCCCCCCCCAAGGCCAACTCACGCTGTCTCAACTCGTCTTGCTCTGAGTCGGGCTTGCTCGACATCGAAACTGAAGAGGTGACTCATCTGGCCGGGACGGTCCGGGCACCGCCAGAGGTTTCCACAACCTCTCCCTCTCCCCCCCCGGTTTTCTGAGCCCTGGCGCCCGTGCATCGGTGCTTTATCATAAGCACGCGCCCATCTTCCGTCACGAGCTCGTCTTGCCTGTCCACGTGGGCCCCGCGCCCCTTTTTCTCGCCTCTGGAGCCCCACACAAGATCAGTAGTCAGTCGGAAAAGAATTGCTGTGATGGTGGTCTGTCACTGCAATGCTGACTTCATGATGGCGACCCAGTGCTGCGTTGGGGAATGTGTCCCAGCCGAAGATGCACCTAAAGTTCAGGCCGCCCCCCGGGGAAAGCTTAACCAAGAACCGTGGTCGTACCAACAACGAACAATGGCCACTTTCGGATAAGCATCTTGGGACGCATCCGGGCGATCCCTCTCAACTTGACACGCGAGCGCGCGCGCGCCAGGCAACGGTGACCAGGGAGGATGGAAGGAGTCAGGAACGAGCGAGCGACCACGAGAAGGTGGGATGGGAAGCAAACGGCAAAGTGGAAAGGGGGGAAGAAGAGGGGGGAGGATGATCAGAACAATGCAGCGATGAAGCTGGGGCAGCTGCACGGTCTTGAAAGGGGGAGAAGACATCGCAGCAGCGAGCGGGCAGGCGGGCTCGCATACCCCCCGAGGCCCAGTGATAGAGCGTGCTCAGACACTGGCCACAAGCACGCTGGCCCAACAGCCGATTGACCAGTGCGACTATCGTGGTCCTCGGGGTGACACGCGGTGAAGGAGGCGCGCGGTGCCATGACTCGCAGAAACCTCTGATAAACAATTCAGATAACTCTGATACGCCTTCCGAACAACCTCTCGTAACAATCTTATAATCCCCTCCTAAATCCGTAACATCTCGTTCATATGAAACATTGAATGCGCCGTAAACGTCTCGGAAACTCTCTCAGAAACCATGAAATTCGCCAATCCAGTATGACACGGTGTACACCAAAGGCCCCTCACACTATCACCGTAGGCCCCTCAAGAGCCCGTCAGGAACCCCTCAGGGGTCTCTCAAAATCCTCTCAGACACATTTCAACTCTCAACAGGCGGTCAGACACCCACAAACGCCTCACAGAAGCCTCTCATACCACACCCATGCTTGGAAGCCCCCTGGAAACATCTCACAACCCTCTTTTAGTCCCATCTCATCGACCTGGCCTGCGCCTCGGCGACGACAAACACCAACACAACTGGGAACCCGCAATGCAGCACCCCACCTCTGCCGCGCTCGCAGGGACTGTGTACGAAGGCTCGCCCCGCTCGCTCTGATCTGCATCGAAGGGGCCGAGCGAGCTTGGACGGCGCGATGGCCCGACGCAGCCAAGAGAACGCGCAACCCTCTTCTTGTAAGCTCGCGTTCTTTTCGCCCGCCCCTCCCCCGCTTCTAATGCGCGACGAAGCACATCGCACCTGTTTCTGAGAGAAGGATCCGAAGAACAACGTCTGTTTGGCGAAGGGCCCCGCCATCTGCAAGTGTGCATACCGCAAGCCAAGTGTAACGAAGGAGGGGGGAGCTCAAAATAGGGTCACGACGCAACGCGTGTGCCGAAAAGGGCGTAACGCCCTCATGTGGACGGTGACTCTGGGGCCTTCGGTGGATCTCCCTGTAGGGCCACGAAGCGTGTGAGGGGTGTGCCCAAACGGGCGTTACGCCCATATGTGGTCTGTGACTATGGGGCCTTCGGTGGAGCCCCCATATGGGGCCATGAAGCGTGTGAGATATGTACAGGAGTGTACAAGCGAGGAGCACGTGGGCGAATGGGAGGAGGGAGGATGGGGGCAGCGTTAGGATGAAGTGAAGCGCGGGGCGCTGTCCCTTCAAAACGAGGACCCAACACCACGGGAGTGCTAGGAAAAACTGCATACATTGAACATTTCGGAAAAAGTTCGTGTGGATTTCTTGGATCGGCATTCGACCCCGTGTCTGGCGCGCGCAGCGCGCCATGGGCGGCGCCAGAGGCGCCGCCAAGGGGTCCCAGCGCCGATCCTAGAAATCCGTGCGGAGCGCCGCAGGGCCATGTTTATGCAGTGCTCCTTTCTCGAAGGCGGAGACAGCAAGCACTAGCACCCCCCATTCTCCACTGCATGCCTTGGCGGCTATCGCGAGGGGACGGTGCCGCATCTGGTCCTTGCACGGCGCCGTCTTCTCCCGGCAGAGCACCCCGAGCTTCTCCCGCCCGTCAGTATCGTGCCACTTGCCAGACCTGCTCATGGCGAGGCGAGTCTCCTGCGAGCAGTGGAGACCGTGGATGCCCCGCCGCCCCCCAGCAGTGAGGGGCAGCGTTAGGGGGGGACCGGCTCAGTGGGGGAAACATCGACCCGAAATCGCCGAAAGATCGCCGATAGATCAACGACAGGCCACCGATAGCGCATCCACACGGTCCTTGGCGGGGCAGGCTATCGGGCCCATATTGATGAATGGGCGATTGGGGGTCGATGCATCCCACCCTGAGCCTATCCCCCCTAACGTTGCCCCTGAAGCAGTCCAATCCCGCCCTCCAGCTCGCCCTCCTGCCTCATGGGTGACGAACAGAGGGAGGATCAGCGAGGGGGGACCAAACCGTTTCTGACGAAAGACTTCCCAGATCGCGCGAACATGTTCGGCAGAGAACCCGTCTGCATACCACACCGCCCTCGCACACGAGTGAGCACGCAGCTGTTTACGGCCGGTGGCGGTCACCACGGGCCTGGTCGTGGGGGGGTTCGTGTCGTGTCGACCCCGTCGCTGGTTCCTGACAGGGCGGGGATCGTTCAACCTTGAACAATCGGCCGTTTCCGAAACGTCAAATCCTTTAACATCGAACGTTTCTGGGTCGCCGGCGGCGTTTGACGTTGAACGCCAGCGGCGGGGTCGCCGCGGGTCGACACGACGCGAACCTACCATGTATTGCCGCGACACGGCTCTCGAATCCACCAAGGAGGCCACCCATACAGTTCCTAGATGGGCCCAAGCAGGAATATCCCGAACTCGCATGTCCTTCCTTTTCCATCGCTATGGCCCCAGATGCCGACAAGCCGACAAAGGACCCCCAACCTCCCTCCCCCCCACACGAGGACACAAGATACCTCCAACAGGGTTCCAACGAGCAAATCGGACCCCAAAACGCGCTCAAGAAGCCCCCCCCCCAAGGCCCCCCAACAGGTTCCAGTGGGATTCTGCTCTTCGTCTCCCTCCGTATCCTCATGATCCTTCTCTTTGTCAATGTTTCTCCTCGTCATCCTCTTCATCCTCCTTTTCTCTGTGTCATTCCAATGTGTCCTCCTCGTGTTTCAGGAACTCCTCGGAGGCCTTTCGGAGGCCTCCAGGCATCTCAGAAGCCTCTTGAAAACTTCTCAGAAACCTCTCAAAAGCCTGCAGGGACCCTCAGGGGACCCTCTGAGGAACCACTCAGAGGCCTCTCGGAAGCCTTAAGGATGCCTGTCTGAACCCTCTCAGAAGCCTTTCAGGAGCCTTCGAGAAACTCCTAAGAGGCTTCTTAGGAGCCTCTCAGAACCCTCGATTGATCCTCTCATAAACCTCTCGGAAACCTTTCGGAGATGTCTCTGAACCCTCCAATAAGCTGGTAAACAACATCTCAAAACCATCTCGGAAATCTCGAATGTGACTTCAAAGAGAAAGCCGGGGAATGACCCGATAAGACCGGGGAATAAGCCGCGTCTGTTCGGGAATCGGCAAACACACCGGGGAGCAGCCGTCGAACCAGGAAATGTAGTGCGTGGAGCTCCCTATGTGGGCACGAAGCGTGGGAAGGGTGCGCCGAAATGGGCGGGGTTCAGTCCCTCGCCTACCCCACACAATGGCGGCCTTAGGTGGGGCTCCATGTGGGGGCACGATACGTGTGAGGGATAGGTCGAACTGGGCGGGGTGTCGCATGCACCCCACCTCCGCCCTTCTGGGTACTCTAAGTGTGAGGGGTGCCCCGGAATGGGCATGCCGAGGGCAGATGCAGGGAGAGGAGAAGGGAGGAAGACGTACGGCGCAGCAAGCTTGAGACCAGGCCCCAGCTCCACATGAGGTTTGGAGATGAGGCGGAGGAGAAGGACGATGGTACGGATTGAGACGAGTGAGAAAAGTGCGAGGACTGAAAGGGTTTGAGACGAACCACGCACGACATGTCCAACACTGGATGTGATGTGCCGCGTCGAGAGCGACCGAGGACTACGCTGCCACCATCGACCTCATCAAAAAGGATCAAGCTGCAGCTCAGGCGACGGATCGTCCATGGCCAGCACCACGGGCAAGAATTAGCGCAGACAAGCAGCGTTGAGCGGAACTGGGCTGGCACTTTCTCGCTCGGCGGCGCGACGGGGGGGGTGGAAAGGCAGAGGGGACGGGCCTCCCTCAGGAGGATCAGAAGGCCTCCGGCCGCCTCAGACGTTCCTGAGCCTCCGCAGAAACTGCAGGAGGAACACTGGCCATCGCTCGGACGTCCATTTTCTGTGCTTTTTTTCGGTTTCGCGCGTGGTTTTTCCGCCAGATGATCAAGGATGCTCCTCGATGGTCCCCACCGAGGAAAAAATACACGTCCGAGCGATGCCAAGGTTGGGGACGAACTGCGGCCCCTCCCCGCGGCGCTCTCGGCGAGGAGCAGCTGCTGGAACGTCACTGCCGAGGCAGGAGGTCTGGCGACGATCGACGAGACCGCCCGCACGCCTCCAGCCCCGGAGCCGAAGCTCTCCCGAGCTTCTCTCCTCGGCGCGCCGCCGCCTCGCGGTCCTTGCCGTCGCCTGGGTGTCTGTGCCCCGTGCAGTTGTCGCTTCTCGGTTGTTTGTGGTTTTGGCGAGCTGGTGGAGGATTCTCCTCGGAGGTCCTCGCCGAGAAAAACCTCACACGTCCGAGCGACACCAAGCTCGTGGAGAAACCCCGCCGTGGCGACGAGGGCCTCCCGGGAAGCCCAACCGGGGCCCACAGCGAGGGACGGGCAGCGGAATCGGAGCCTCGAGCTGCCAGGGAAGGGCCCCTCGACGCGAAGCACGCTGTGCTCTCAGGACATTTCTGCATGTCAGCGTGGCACGCGTCGAGGACAGTAACTACTGCAGGTTCGTGTCGTGTCGACCCAGGCTTTGGTTCCGGACACCGCACGGATCGTTCAACCTTGAACGATCGGCCGTTTCCGAAACGTAAGATCGTTCAACATCGATCCATTCTAGGTCGCCAACGGCGCTCACCGTTGAACGCCGGCGGCGGGGTCGCCTCCGGTCGACATGACGCGAACCTACGAACCTACCGTACGGTGCACCAAAAGTCTGCACAGCAGCGTGGCGCGCGGCGGGACCAATGGCAGCGTGTCTGCATGGCAGCGTGACACGCAACGGGACCACCCCTCTGCCCCCCCCCCAACCGGCCAAAGAAGGGCCCCTCGGCAGAAGCGAGATCGAGGCTCCTTCTTCCCGCGGAGCCCGTCGTTCTCGGGGTTCACGGCGTCCCACGGCGTGCCGTCCGTCCACTTCCACTGGCCAGGCCGCCGCTGCATTTCTTACCGCTTCCAGGCGCTCCCTGGCGCTCCCAGGCGCTCCCAGGCGCTCCCGGCATGCTTCCAGGCGCTCCGAGGCGCTCCCAGGCGCTCCCAGGCGCTCCCAGACGCTCCCAGGCGCTCCCTGGCGCTCCCGACAGCAGTCGGCGGCGAGCCCAGGAGTCGAAAAGGGCATCGCTGATGCAGGGAAGCTTGCGAAGGGAGGAAAGGAAGAGGGATGAGGATGAGCAGATGAGAGAAAGAGAGAGAGAGAGAGGACAAGAGGAGTGGAATTGAGTTCCAACTCTTGGGAGACCAACAGCCCGCCATACCCATCCAGTCTGGAGCTGAGGTGATACACGCACATATATATATATATATATATATATTGTTGCCAAAGTGCGGCCAAGGACTTGAGCAGTACAGCAGTTCACATTCGTCACGACTGCTCGCGAAGCATCGTCATGAACGAAAGCCTGCGGATCGGCCAAACACGGCAGGTATTTCAAGCAACTTCTCAGGGGGTGGGAGGGGGCAGGCCTTCTCAGACTCAGTAGGCGGCGGGGCTTCTCCGAAGGCGGGAGGTCTTCCGAGCCGTCCGAGAAGGCCCGCTCCCACTGAGCCGAAGCAACGCCAGCACAGCAGCAAAATACGGCAGGCAGCGAGCTCACTCCAAGGTCCTGTGCAGAGGACCGGTGACACAGAGTGTGCTATAAACGTGCGGCCGTCGCCGCAGACACGGGGAGCTGCACGCCCGTGGGTCGCGCTTGTCGCGTTCATGCTGTTGCATATTTGCCGAAATGAGGATGACGCCGGATTGCAACGAAGGATTGCAACGAAGGATTGCAAACGAAGGATTGCAAAAGAACCCGAAGGATTGCAAAAAAAACCGCAGAATTTTTTGCAATCCTTCGAACGAAGGGTTTTTTGCAATCCTTCGAGGTTTTTTTGCAATCCCGCGTCCATCGATTCATTACATTATCTCTGCCTCCCTCTGTCGTTGTCTTGCGCCCCTCCCCCTCGCCCCGCCCTCCTCCCGCGGCCCCTCCCCCTGGCGATCCATCTCCCGCTTTCGCTCCAACCCCGCGCCACCCCTGCCTTTTTTTTGTCTCTCTCTCTCTCTCTCTCCCTCTCTCTCTCTCTCTCTCCCTCTCTCTCTCTCTCCCTCTCTCTCTCTCTCTTTCCCTCTCTCTCGTCAGCTTGGATGCGGGAGCTGGGTGATCAGAGGTGGCAGAGGAAGACGCGGATGAGGACGTGACATGGAGAGAAAAGTGAGGAATGCCTGCCTGGGCTGTCGGGTAACGTCCGCTCTGTGTCGGCTCGGTCGCTCGCGCGCCTTTACTGGTGGGGACGACTCCCCCGTGGCCTATGCAAGCTCACCCCTGCTCACGCGCGGCTCCTTCGGGCTCTGGAGACTCAACTTCTGCTCAGCGAAACAGAAAGGAACATCAGACCTCGTCGGAACACTTGCCCGATGCGATGCTTTGCGCCATCGGCGCGAGGACACGCGGTACTGCTGGGGCGAGCCAGGCGAATGCCATGATGACAAGCATTACTTTACACTCCCGACAACTACGCCCTAAGAGTATAGCAGGCCCCACGCCGCGTAACACCGAAAGCTGGGCTGACACTGTAGACCACGACACTTACAAGAACGAGGCCACGCTCAGATAACCCAAACACACATGCCGCTGTGATGGAAGGACTCTGACGCCTCGAACTCATGCCTGACAGCCTGGAAGAGATACCGTGCACCACAGCATGGCGTCTCAGGGGGTATCGTGGCGGCTTGGCGAAAAAAAACGCCCTCACATGCAGACAGGCCCTCACACAACACAGTACGAAGAATGCCTGCAAGAGGACCCCACTGCTGAAACACACCCACCATCAAGACACGCAGTACCGGTAGTGGGCGTCCAAGCGAGTATGCCAACTGCCTGCGGAGCTTCCCCACCTCGGCAGGCCGAAACGAAACATGCCAGGGCACGAATACCAGCCAGCGTGGCCATCACTGGGGAAGTGTTGCAGGATGACCACCGAGAAGGTTTACGCAGCACACTGCCCCCCTACACACCCTCAAATCCAAGACTGGATCAATAACACCGCATGGCTTCCAGCTTCGCCCAATACGGATTACACGGCCCAGCTTCAGCCATCCCGTTGGAGACAACCTACTCTGAGCTGGGAGCAGGTGAAAGGAGGATGTGAGGAGGAGGGAGGGAAGATGAGGAACGTGACGAGGATACTTGTCGTTTGTTAGGGGAGAAGGTCATTCTGCTCACCGTGGCTCCTCGTACAGAAGCTGCACGGGCATACGCACAGGGCACCTCTACACCACCGCTGTCCATGGCCAGCGCTATTCTGGGCCCTGGAGTGGTGTATGCTTCCTGGCCGACGCCAGGAGGGTCTGTGTACCATGCTGAGGCCCAGGATGGCCCTGGTCAGGCGTGGTGCGAGGGGGAACGTTGGCGGGGGACTTCCTCATGGGGGGAACATCGGGCTGGAATCGAGAATACATCGCCGATGGATCGGCGATAGCGAAACCGCGCATTCTAGGGCGGGGTGGGCCGTCGGGCCGGCGCCAAATGGGTGATTGGAGGTCCATGCGTCCCCCCACCACCCGCGCCTACCGCCCTCCCCAATCCCACCAGCCCTCTGGGCGTAGGTGGTCTAGGGGGGCTCATTTTCCAAGCCCCTTCTTCCCCTTCGGGGAGGGGTCATCACAATTCCGTATTAACATACCCCCCCTCCCCAAGGCGACCGGCGGCCAACCAGGAACCGTGATCCCCCCCACCATCCTTTTAAAAAACTATGCAACACGCACTGTATCTCCACATTTCAAGCATTCGCGGCCAACCCGATGCGCCCCCTCCCACCATTCTTGGCGAAAGTACAAAATACACGTTGGCACAAAATCTTGAAACATGTTCGTTATGCCCGGGAGCACTTTGAATTGTCTTTGTCAGGCACGGCGGGTGTGTCAGCATATTGCTTGCTGCGCGCAGGGCTACCTCCCTAACAAAATACAACATACACCTCGCGGATGCATCTTGATCATGCGAGGCCACCCCACGATCACTGTCAAGTGGTGATTACAAGGAGCGGCGGGGGTGGTGGCGTATGGCCTGCTGTGCGCAGGCCCGCCAGACACAACATGATGGGCATCGGGTTTCGACAAGGATGGCGGGGGCCGACATGTTTCCCTAAGTGTGCTGTCAAGTGCGCAGGCGCACCTGACGCACTCTGCACGTGCCCCTAACTTGGCGCACCTGGCGCGGCTGGAGTGTGCGGCCCCATTAGCGCACGTGGAGCACGAGGCGCATCTGGCGCACCAGGCGTGCCTGGCACGCTCGGGCCCCATGGGTGCCTGGCGCGCGTGGCGCGCCTGGCTCGCGTGGCGCACCTCGCCCGAGCGTCGCGCACCTGAGGTCGCTTGGTTCCCAATAGTTGCCCATCCATAACCACCGCTGGACATGCTCGGGCTCGGGTGTATTTGTTTGTTGGGAGGGCGGGTGGGAGTGAGCTAGGCGACTTGGGATCTAGCTATCAAAATATACCCCCCCTCCCCCAAACGGCCAGTGGCCAACCTGGAACCATGCCGACTCCACGCGGGACCGCACCCCACCATCCCTGTCAAAAAACAATACAAACCGCACTCTGCCTCCACATTCGGAGCATGCGCGGCCAACCCGATGCGCCCCCCCCACCCCTCAAAAAACAGAGCAACGTACACTTTGGAGCAAACTATTGAGTCATGTTCGTGAAGCCCGCGAGCACTTTGTATTGTGTTTGACAGGGACGGCGGGGGTGCCAGCATATTCCCTGCTGTGCGCAGGGCTGCCACCCCTGACAAAACAACACAATACAACATGCACCTCCAGGCTAAATCTGGACCATGCGCGGCCATCCCACGATCACTGTCAAGTGATGTTTGACAGGAATGGCGGGGATGGTGTCGCGTGGCCTGCTGTGCGCAGGCCCGCCAGACACAACATGATGGGCATCGGGTTTCGACAAGGATGGCGGGGGCCGACATGCTTCCCGATGTGTGCTGTCAAGTGCGCAGGCGCACCTGGCGCACTCTGCACGTGCCCCTAACGTGGCGCACCTGGCGCGGCTGGAGTGTGCGGCACACCTAGCGTACGCGGAGCACGAGGCGCATCAGGCGCACCAGGCGTGCCTGGCACGCTCGGGCCCTATGGGTGCCTGGCGCGCGTGGCGCCCCTGGCACGCGTGGCGCACCTCGCTCAAACGTCGCGCGCCTGGGGCCGGCTTGGGTTACCAATAGTTGCCCATCCATAAACCACCGCTGAACATGCTCGGGCTCGGGTGTTGTTTGTGTGTTGGCAGGGCGGGTGGGAGTGAGCTAGACGGCTTGCGGACGAGTGGGTAGCTTGACCCCTCCCCCTGACCCCTCCCTTGGACCAGGACGGGAGGGGCGCGAGGCGTTGGAGCGTCCAAGATGGCCCACGACGTCTCCAAGAGGGCCCCTGAGAGTCCAAGATGAGCTCCAGGATGGCTCAAGATAGCGTGCGATGCCTCAAGATGGCTCCCAAGATGCTCCAAGAAGCCCCAAGAACGTTCCAAGACGGCTCCAAGAGGCGCCCGAGACCCCAAGGAGGCCCCCAAGAAGCCAAGATCCTTCAAACGCCTAAGAAACATCAATGATGCTTGCTGCTGTCTCGCCGTTCCGCTTCCGATAGCCATCCGAGGCCTCAAGATGGCTCCGAGATGGCCCAAGAAAGCTCCAGGAGAGGCCCACGAGAGCCCCAAAACAGCCCCCAAAACGCCCAACAACGCCCCAAGAGGCGATTGTCGGTGTTCCGGGGGGGGGGGGGGGGGCTAGTTGGAGCCCCCCTCTTTTTTAATAGATGTCCTCCAAGGCGGCCCCAAGAGCGCCCCTGCAGCTCGCAAGAGCGCCCCAAGAGGACCCCAAGAGGCGCCGAGACGGCCCCAAGAGGCCTCCACGAACGAGGCTCCCAAGAGACCCCAAACAAGGCCTCAATAGGATCCCCGAGGTACCCAACTCTCCCTCCTCCTGCTCCTTCTCCTCCTCGTTTTCCCCGTCATCGCCCTACTCCACCTCCTCCTCCTTCTCCGACGACGACGACGTCGACGACAACGATTCCTCATCCATCCTCCCCCTCTTGGCGTATATGACGGCTTCACCCGCCTTTTGTTTTCCTGCATGCTCCCCCACTTCCCTGATCACATCAACTCCCCTGGGCATCGTTTCTGGAAAGGCTGGTGGGGATTTTTTTGTCAGCAGCCGCGAGCGAAAGCGCACACGGCGAGTCGAGTCAGAGCGGCCGCGCAAAGACGAATTACCAAAAGCGGCGGGGCCGCTGGTGGGGATACGCAAAGCGTCAACAATATTGCCCCTGTTAGTACGAGACCTCTTGTCGGCGGCGAGTCTTGGGGGGAAATGCGAGAGGGCGGACCTTTTCAGAGGGCTCGGAAGTTCTCCCGCCTTCCGAAAAGCTTCCTGCGCCTTCCAAGAAAGCCTTCCACGGAGACGCGGAAAACGTTTCAGAAGGCGCGAGAGCGTCCGGGAAGCCCCGCCGCCTTCTGCGAAAAGCCTCCTCCTTCTCACTGCCCCCCTCCTTCACTCGCCGCCGATTCCTCGCAGAACAAGGGACGGGGGGGTCCCGCCCTGCCCCAAAGTACTGTCCTCCGTACAGTTAAGACGGGCATGTCCTCCCACAAGCGGTTCTTGGAAGAAACAGAACAAATAGTCAAGACATGCCCACGGACAGTCAAAGATAGTTTGAACATCATTCCCATAGCATTATTTGATTATTTTTGAATACTCCACCTGTAGAGGGACATGCCCGACTTCACCATACAGCTGAAACATGGCCATACCAACGTGGATCAAGGGTGTGGGCCCCCTCGACTCCAAGGTAGAGCACCCAAGCAAAACAAAACACCAATGTACTCCTTCAACAGGGTGGCCAAAATCGAATCGATGAACCCGGTCGGCGGAAATCGGCAGCCAAGTCGGGAGAAACCGAATGGGCAGGAATCGGCCGGCTTGCAGGGCCTCCATGGAAAACTCAGAACCCAGGTTGGAAGCCGAAGCGAATGAGAGGAATCGAAACAAGCCCTGCTTTGAAGCTCGCGCTGCTTTTTAGAGGAGCAAAGAGAGGCATCAGCTGAATGTCAGAAAACACGGGGGGCGCGTGATCAAACAAATGGTTCCCCTGCTGGGGCGAATGGCGGGGGGAGGCGCCCGCCAAATAGAAAAGCACGGCGGCCGCGCCTGTGATTAACGCCGACGCCCAGCCGAGCTGGGCCGGATTCCTTGGATCCGCGCTGGGCCCGCGCCCTGGCGCGCGGAGCGCGCCAGTGGGCGGCAATGGAGTCGCCGCCAGGGGGCCCCAGCGCAAATTCAAGAAACCGGCGCGGCCCGTCGAAAGCTTATGTCTATGCAATATTCTTTGGCGGCGCGCACAAAAGGGAGAGGGGGAAGGCTTCTTAGACGGTGGCTGCTCCTTAGCAGGCGCCAGCCCTACATCCTCAGACAAGGCCCGCAGCCTTCTGAGAGGCAGGAGTGCTTCTAAGAAGCCTCTCCCCTCCCCTTACACCTTCTGCGCGTGGCCGATTGTAAACAGCCGAACTCTATACACCGACGCTTTTCCCGGCCCCGCACTGGAACTCGGACAGGAAAGCGGATCCTGGCGTATACGCGATTCCGGGTGTAATACATCTTTCGTTGTTTCCCAAGGAAGCGGGGAAACAAGCATACACCACACCACCCCGACGTCGTCCCCGACCCTCCAAAAGTTCTGGGATTGAAAAACAGCCCACCATTCGTAATGTATATGCTCCAGTTTCTGGGATTTCTCTTATTCGATACAACCTGGAACTGTTGTTCGATATCGTGCCAAATGCAATGCGCCGACCAACCGACAAGCCAACGCGGCCCCTCGGCCGCCCGGGCAGCGTGCCCGCCTCGCCGCGGCCGTCGCTGGTGCCCCCGAGGTAGGCGCCGCGGCCATCGTGCTGCCTCATCAGCTCTTCCGCCTGGAGGGGTGCCAGACGGTCGGGATGAGCATCGGTTAAGCGCTCCCTGTCCCCACTGGCGTGGGCTGCGCCCCACTGGCCGATTTACCCCGCCAGATGGGGATGGAGGCTGATCCCTTCGGGCTCCGAAGGGCCTATTCCTTAGTGGACCCGGGAAACGACAAAACCGCTTTTTGACCGGTTCCGTCGCCGTTTTGATACCGCTTCCAGCTCCAATTCCAATCCTGGAGCCGTTTTCTTGCCGTTTCCTGTCGCCGTTTTTTCGCCGTTTCCATTTTCAATCGACATTTGTCGGAAACTGTAAAAAAAAACGGCCCTGCCGTTTTCGGGGCCCACTAAGGCCTATTCCCGACGGGGTTGGATGAATTGTGGGGCTGAGATACCATGTCCCTGTGTGAATGAGGATCGGTAAAACGATACTGATAGGAAACACACCCAAGGAGGTTTTCGCGAGAACAATGAAAATGTATTAAATCCAACGAGAAGGCAATTAACCGGGACTAAGCCGGGATTTGTCCAATATTAGGCCAGATGCAACGGGACGAAATCCGCCGGCCACCTTGTGGGGCCACCAGGCTGTAGCGCGAAGGTTCGCAGTTTCCTGTACCAGTTGCAGCGTCTAGTTTCCACTTTTACAGTTCTGCTTCTTGCTGCTTAACCAGGAGAAGCAATTAAAGAACCCCCGGCGTTATCATTAGCACCGCGCCGTAATTAAATAATTATTTTTGGGGGTTTTCGCCGAGCGATATTATTAGCACCGCGCAAATGGAAGGAAAATAAATAATTCCAGCGCCCCGCCTCGGGTGGCATCCCAATTAGAATTGTAATGACAATAAGAATCTTGGTGTACCCCCTCCTGGTGCCAGGATAACGCTTCCGGGTGCCGGGTGCGTTATCCTTTCACCGGAGAGGGGGGGGGGTCCTTAATCGCTTACTCGGGTTACTGTTCCTTGTTGATTGACCGCGCGATGGGTGGCGGCCCAAAACGGGCATTTTCACCACGCCCTGAGCGTGTGCTCTGAATTGCAGGTGTGGGTAAAAATTTGCACCCTCACGCAGATCGGCGGGGTCAGGGTCCAACAACACAAGGGATTTGCCACATTTCTGAAATTTGCTGGCACCCCTCACGCAGATCGGCGGGGTCAGGGTGCAAAAACTTAAGGGATTTGCAACATCTCTGAAATTTGCTGGCACCCCTCACGCAGATCGGCAGGGTCAGGTGCAAAAACATAGGGGATGTGCAACATCTCTGAAATTCGGTGGGACCCCTCACGCAGATCGGCGGGGTCAGGGTCCACAAACACAGGGGAATTGCCACATTTCTAAAATCCGGCGGCACCCCTCACGCAGATCGGCGGGGTCAGGATCCAAAAACACATCGGATTTGCTACATTTCTGAAATTCGGCGGCCTCCTTCACGCAGATCCGTAGGGTCAGGATACAAAAACACAAGGGATTTGCCATATTTCTAAAATTCGGTGGCACCCGTGACGCAGATCCGTAGGGTCAGGGCCGAAAAACAAACAGGTCCCGACATTGCTTCACGGCGGCGCCCAGACCTCATGATTTAGCTTTTGCGTCTCCCATTATCCGAGACAGGGGGCCGGCGGCATGGGGCGAAACCCTTACGGATAATATTAAACGGAGTTCGCCGGCACAACCCCAGAGGAAGAAGGAGGAGGCAGGAGGAGGATGAGGAGGCGGCAGGAAAGTGGAGGGATGACGAGAAAGCTAGGAGGGAAGGGATAAGGAGGATGAGAAAAGTACGAGGGATGACGAGAAAAAGAGGAGGCCCTGGATAATGGAGAACAACCCGTGGCAGTGAATGCCTGGGCAGCGCGATACCAAAGGATGAGGAGGGCCGGGACAAGAACATAGCGGCTGGGGAATCCGAACGGAGTCAAGAACATGACGAGCAGGATAACAGGAACCGGGACGAAGAAGAAAGGCGGACCTGGTTGGATGTGGGAGCGAAAAGCAGGCGACAGGACACAATCAAGAAACTCTCGCGTCGGCCCCTCCCATTGCACATGCTCTCGGCCAACTGGGACATGGCAGGAAATCCCGAGCCTCGCCCGACAGCTTGGCTTTCGCGTGGCGAATCTCAACCGTAGGCGCGCGGGCGAAGAATGAAGGGAGACAAGAAGCCAGACGTGGAGCAGGACGGGAGTAGGATTCGCGATAACGCTCGTGATCGGCTCAACCACTTTCCCGCCCCCCAAGTAACGTCACGATTCTCAACAATTCCGCCTGGGAAATCATGCTTGGGCATGGTCGGCGCCGGCGCGAATCATGTCATTACTGGTATCCTCTTCCCCCCCCCCCTGGTCATGCCCGTCATCGCCAGGCGGTGATAAAGTGCCCCATGTCATGAAACGACTGGCTCACAACGCGCTCCGGGAACTGCGGAGCCTAGTTTCTTCAGCCCGTGTGTATAATTGAACAACTCGAGAACCCTGAGAGTCTGGGAAATCTTGGAACGTATCATTATCATTACCTCGTGCTCCTGTGATCTGGACGTGTACGGACAAAACTTGCACGATGTCCCTGAGCAAATGTTGTCTAAAATCGGCAGCGGCCGGTGTTGGGAAATCGCCTTTGACCTCAAATGGGCAACGCCCGCGACGACACCGACTGCAAATACTGATCGAAAAGCTCAAGCACTGCTGTCGGTCTTCGTGCCCGTTCTTTCCGTACCCATCGTCGACGTACGGACTGATGGATGGCAGGGAGTGCCGTCGCCACCAAAACCTACCAAATCTTGCTTCAGACCTCAGCCTCCCTCGCCTTCCCTCCGGCCTCTCCCATCCCCAGTCCTAGAAAATAGAAAACCACCGCCGTAAGAACCGCCCTGGAAAGCCAAGCCGTTCAGCAAACGGATCCGATGAAGGAGTCTAACAGGGCAGGGCTGGTCAGAAAACGCCCATGGCGCCCCATTCGTGGCCCCCCCTCATTACTGCCTGGGGGCCTACCCCGCACAACGCCCTGCTCTTTGCCGCCTCCTCTGTCACAGAAGGGAACATGACAAATACCGCTATCGCGCTGCTCGCCATATCCCAAACTGCCTCTCAATACGATTATGATGCGAACCCGGCAGCGGATGGGACATCGATGATTTTTGGTCGTGCCCATTGCAAGCGCGGCCGAGGGGCGACCGCGGAGCAGAAAGTTATCTGAACTCGCCGTGGTGCCTGTCACCACCGAACGAGGTTTGACTAGATCAATGCACAGGGCGCGCTCGATCCAGCGGCGTGCGGCATCACCGGAGGCGCCCGCACGGGGCAAACAGAGGGAGACCACCAAAGCCGCTCCCGCGCCGCGCCTCGGCGAGGACCAGGGCGAGAGAAGCGAAAAGAGAGGGTCCCCCACTTTAAAATACCACATTGGTGACAAGGCTAACGCTGGCGCTCCGTGCGCTTCCGTGCGGCCTTGCTCTTGGCGATTGCAGTCGTCGGCGGCCATGCCGACTCCAGGTCGCGGATCTGCTGCTTGATCTCCAACGCCTGCTTGCGGAGAAGGTATTGCCCCTCGCGTTCCTTCGCGCACTAGGCCTGCAACGTACCGATGCGCGACACGTCGATATTCTCGAAGTCCGTCTGCTTCTGGGCGGTCGTCCTCGTGCTGAGCTCGTGCATGATGTCAGTGAGGAACGCGCTCTGCGTCGACGTGTTTGCCGTCTGGATGAAGTCCACGTACTACTTCTGAGTCACGGTGGTGCGGAGCTCTTGCATGAGCTCCACGGTTTTCTCTTCCAGCGCGTCGCTGTACTCCTGAGCCTCATGGTCAGCGTTGATCTCGACCCCATCGTGAGTCCCCACCTGAACCTCGTGGGGCCCTCCTCGATATTCTCGCAGTCCGCCTGCTCCACGGACGGCGCCTCGGCGGTCCACGCCACGTGCTCGCCGATCTCGTCCTCGATCGCGCACCCGTGGTCGTCCTGAAGCCGCGCGTCGACAGCGAGAACCTGCTCGACGTACATCGTCTCCAGGCCGTCGCCGTCGCGCGCCTCGATGGTGATGCTCTTCAATTCGTCGGTTTGGTGCTGCCCAAACTCCTGCTGCTGCATGTGCTCGTCTTTTGTCGGGTCCTCCATGTCGGACCCGATGTGGTGGCGCTCGTAGCACATCCCCGAGCCCGCGCCGAAAGGGTGGTCGGACGCCGTCTCTTCGGCCTCGCTCTCCACCACCTCGATCTGCTTGTGTTTGCAGCTTGCGTTGCTGTCGCAAGCGAGCCAGCGGCACGCCTCAGCCAGCGCCTTCTCCCCCGCACCAAAGTGGCGCAAGAGGCTGCTGGCGGCATCGAGATCCCGCCATGCTCGCTCGAGGTGCGACGGGGCTTTGCGCCTCGCGTCGCGCTGCTTAGCCAGTCCCTTGGCCAGGGTGGCCTCGCCTGTGAGCTCAACTAGCTCCGAGGCAAGGCCCGGCAGCCGCTGGGCACGCTCGCTCAGCGCCGGCCGCACGGGAGCCGCCGTCTCAACGGGCCCAGCGCCGCTGCCGGGCGGCGGGGCGGCTGTCGCGCTCGCCGCCTGCAGCATCAGCATGAGCTCCGCGGCCTCGCGCACGGAGGCGACGGTGGCGATGGCAGCGCCGTGTCGCACGGTCGGGCCGCATCGCCCGCCACGCCCCATGGCCCTCCGAGGACGCGCGGCACAGAAGAGGCGCGTCTGGCGCTCGACCGAGCGCCCCGTAACAAGATACAGCGTCCGCCAAATCTTGAGCCAACATGGCTACGATAGCGACATCGGCACAGTCGAAGCAGGGCCTCGAGAACGTGCGTCAGGAACGTGACGCCCCTTCGACGAAGGCCCAAGGCCCAAAGGCCATACCCCAAACGCAGAGCACTCCCAGGTGGGAAGCCCAGACGAAGAGCGTAATGATACCTTCCGGAGGATGAGTTTGATGCTGTTCCAGTCTACTTTTAGCCTTGACCACCAGCAAGAATTTCGAGCACAAAGACCATACCGAAACTTGAAGGCTTTTACGTGTCGGGCCATGGGAGGCAATTCGCTTTCGACACTGTTTCGATAGTTCCCTGGGTGCTCGAAATTATCTCTGGGACGGGTCCTTAAGCACGATGGGAGTAACATGAGATGAGGTTGGTCTGAACCCTCGTGCCAGCTGTACGTTGTCCTCCTCCCCCGAGCTCCAACGGCCGCGGCGGCCCAGAGCGCTGTATGGCCATTTCTACAACCCTGAGCGTAAAACGAAGGCTGCCATCTCTTAGGGGCGCATGCTTTACTTCCCCTGGCCTCCCGCCGAGGAAGAGCTGGCAACTGATCCGATCGTCGAAGGCGAGGCCCTTTCTGGAACGCCTCCGCGCCCCCAGCCAACCATATCTTCTCCTGAGTCGATGGGGGGCGCGAAGAGGGCTCGGATCTCGCCGCCTGCACCGATGATCGGAGATGGTCGGGCGACGAGGTCAAATTCACTCAACATCGGCCCCTGGATGTTGGACCTCTGGGGCCCATCTGGTGCAGATTCTCTCCCCCAGTCCGATTTTCGGACGGTCCCGGGGCCCGCAAGCGGCCCCTGGAGGCAAAGCCCTGCGAAAAGCCTGTTCCCCGCGGACGTCGGCGAGGGTGGGGTGCGGAGTTCTGTCGAGGGTGCCCTGGCAGGCCGCCTCCCTCTGCTCGTCCTCCGACTGGATGCTCGCCACGACGAGGCCCTTCGAGTCGCAGCCCGCGGACGCCCGTGGGGCGAGGTGGGGCGCGAAGTGATGGGAGGGCGATGAATTATCGGGGAGAAGAGGTGCCCTTTTCGGGCCTTACAGACCCCCAAGAGAAGGAGGAGGAGGAGGAGGACGAGGAGGAGGACGAGGAGGAGGAGGAGGCGGAGGAGGAGGAGGAGGCGGAGGAGGAGGAGGGGAGGATGAGGAGGAGGAGGAGACGGAGGAGGAGGAGCAGGAGGAGGAGCAGGAGGAGGAGGAGGAAGTGGCGGAGGAGGAGGAGGGGGAGGAGGGGGAGGAGGAGGAGGAGGAGGAGGAGGAGGAGGAGGAGGAGGAGGAGGAGGAGGAAGGAGGAGGAGTTCCGGGCCCGTAAGGACCCTCTAGGGGCCCCCGCTGCCCCCTCATCGAACCCCCCCATGAAGCGTCCTCCAACGAGGGCGAGGGGGCCGGGTCAGGAGAGCCGGGCCAGACGGGGGAGTCTGGTTTCTCAAGGGGCCCACGCAAGCAAGCCATGCGCCAGCCTGCGGCACGGCGCCTCGGCAATGATCGCACGACTCCCCTGTTGTAGGGGTCGGCGGCGCCTCTGGTTCGTTGCCCAAAAGAGACCAGGGGCCACATAGAGGGCACCAAGGAGTCCCTCATCTGGTGGTCCGCGGCGCATGTGGTCTTAAAAGGAGGGGCCCAGGGGCACGCAAACAGATGACACACAAACATCAAATCCAGGACCCTCCCTGTTCAGCAATGTTTGCTGGATTATCCTGTTCCCCTCCTCGCTCCATTTTCAATATGGTCCCATCTGTTCATGGAAATGAGGGTTTGTGTGTGAGTGTCTGTGTATATTTGTTCCTCCTGAGCCTCGGCGTTGCGACCAGGGAGGAAGCCAGAGGGGGTGGTCCATCTATAATTAAGGCCCGCAAGGCCTGCGGCCTCCTGACAGGCTTTCCGGGCCTCCTTCCATGCCAGAGGAAGGCTTCTCAGAAGGCCATTGGGCTCTTGAGAAGCCCCGCCGCACTCAAAACAGCCCTGCCCCCTCTCACCTCCCTCCTCGGCGTGCCGCTCACAGTCGGGTGCTGCCAGAAGTGTCCCTGGCCCAAGGTGCCCCCAGGACTTCCAAGGAGGTCTCCAGAGAGCACCCCTGGCGAGGCCCAGGGGCTCCAGAGTGGAGCGAAAATTCGGGACACGATTGGGCCAAGGGCACACTTGGCAACACCCGATCTAGAAGGGCCGGTCGGGACTGGTCGGGACGACGGGTCAATCCGGCGGACCAGGGGATTAGCAGGGCAGGGAGGGGGCGAGCCCAGCAGCGGGGCCGAAGCGTGCTGCACGCCACAGCTGTCGCACCGATTCTCTTCCCAGCCCCCCTGGTCGTCCTACCCGAGAGGCGGACAAACACTGCCAGCGCGGCCACTGCCGACTGCACTCTGGGCGCGGGTGCCTCAGTGGATCCGCTTCTCCAGAACGACCCCAGACGGCCCAACAGAGCACCCCCAGACGGCCCAACAGAGCCCCAAGAGACCCTCAAGGGTGCGCAGGGTGTTCCAAACAGGGCCCCAAGAGGGCCCGAGATGGCCCCTCCCCAGTGCCCCCCCAGCGCTTTCCCAAAGCGCGCGCAGTCAACTAGCACGGCCGTGCCTCTGCTCGACATGTCACCACACCAACGTTTTGAAACGTGCCCGACGTTTTATATACTCTCCGCCCGCGACAGCGCCCGTGACCTGCCCTGCCCCCCGGCCCCCTCATCCACGCCTGGTCACGCAGCGATTCCAGCCACCACCGTCTGGGAACTCTTCCTGAGCATTCTCGGGCGGCGCCGGCGCGAATCGTGACGTGACTGCCCCCCCCTGCCTGCCTCCCCGCCCCCTAGGTCACGCCCCGCCCGACATCGCCAGGGGAGAAAGAGCGGTCGCAAGACAGGAGGCGGCGGTTCGCCGCAGGCGTCTTCGATACTTGACCGAGCCCTCGTAGTCGCGAGCCTGGGCGAAGGGCGTCGCTTCCAGAGGAGAAGGCCACGGAGGATGGAGAGGCTCTGGGCTGCCAAACTCCGCACGTCGCCCCCCCCCCCCCCCCCCCCGCGGCCCGCGAGGGCGAGGCCCGCGAGTTGCCTCTGCGCCCTCGAGGCCTGGCGGCCGCGCGCCGCGACCTTGGAGAAGGGCGGCCGCTCTGGCCCAGGCCGCGACGTGCGAAGTGCGGGTGTCTTCGCGCGTTCCCGGGGGTGACCCGGGAGGCTCGGGCCCAGGGCTGAGCCTAAACGGTGTGCTTCGACTTCGTTTTGTCTTCGTCTTCCCTCGTCTGGTCTTCACTCCGCCTCTCACGCAAAGCGAACTCGAACCGACAACGGCCCGCCAAATCGCTAAAACACCGCTTCGGTCCACCCCTGCTCGGGCCGAGGTGGAAGCGCATCTTGTTCGGCGGACTCGAGGCACGCTCGCCCTCGGAAACACACCACGCAGGATCACCGTAGACCCACGCGTTCCTCGCGCGCCCCTCTCCCTCCTCCCGATCCCCTCCTCTTGCCCAGCATGATGCTCCACCTCGCTGCCCCGCCATAGCTAAGAACGACATCAGAGCGGCTGGACCATCTAGACCACGTCATCGTCTGTGCTGGCCCGAGCTGTCAAAGGGGTGGATCCAGTCGACGAGTCTGCACCATGCGAGCTCTTTCCAGTGCCCGTTGGAACGGTCGCGTTGTAATGGAAAGTACCCTGGATATCAAGGCTGCCATCCTTGCAGACGCCGCATGTGAGAGGGCACTCCTGGACGAACCAATCCTGTGCGGCAAGAAAGAAAGGGAACCAATGACAGACTGGTTCGGGGAGGAACGAAATCCGAGCAGCAAGACGCAACACAAGAACCACATCGCCGCCAGGGAACACCACCGTCCTCTTCCATCCCTTCGCTTCCTGTTCCACCCATGATGATGGAGGGATGATGGGAGGGGGGCGCAACGAATAGCAACAACAAAAAGAAGGGGGAGGAAGAAGAAGCGGGAGGATGTGTTGTAGGAGGGTCGGCATGTGCTCCCCTCCGACATGATAGAGACCTGGGCTGCCACTGTCAACACTGGAGCCTCGAGACCATAATTCAGTGCTCATTCGGCTGTTCAGCTCTGCGGATTTCGTGTTTCCTTCTCCGGTCCCAGCGTTCTTCCTGACATTCACGTTGCTCATGCTGTTCCCTCCTCTTGCTCTTCCTTCTCCTACACCTCCCCTGTGTCCCCCTCATCCACTTCGTCCCTGCCGCGTCCATCCTCCTTTATCATTCATCCTGGCCCTGTGTCATCCGTGGATGTGTCCCTGACAGGCGGCGCATGAGGATGAGGAGGCAGGAAAGGAGCATGACGAGGAGGGGAGAGTGAGGAGCGAGAAGAGAAATGTGGCAATTTTGATCAGGACGTCGAATGCTGCATGAAACGAACCCTTGGAGCTCAACCGTCCACATCAACGACATGTTGCCGAGACCGCACGGCCCTCAAATTTGACAGCTGGGAGCGATCTCCATGTGTGGGGCCCGGGGCCTGGTTAACACTTCCAAGGGGATGACGTAGGCTCATGGGCTCTTCGTGCAGCGTCAGCGCTTGTCGTGCCTCACGCCCTGTGTGTGCAAGCTCGCGCCTTCCTCGCGAGGGGCCCTCTGCTTGGCACCCCACCGCTCAGCGCAGCGGTCGCCTTCCTCTCCTAATAGTTTGCTTCGTCTCCGTCCTTGTCTTCGTCGTCGTCAATATTGTCGTCGTCGTCGATGCCGTCGCCGTCGCCGTCGCCGTCGTCGTCGTCGTATTCGTCTCGTTTGACAAAGGTGCGTGCGACACCGCTGCAGGACGTCGCATCCGCTCATCCAAATAATTCTCCTCCCCTTCTCCTCTCCCCCTCCCCATCCCCCCTGCTCCCCTCCCTCCCGTCCCCCTCCCCTCCCCCTCCCCTCCCTCCCCCCCTCCCCCCCCCTCTCCCCTCCCCTCCCCTCCCCATCCCCCCTCCTCCTCCCTCTCCTCTCCCCTCCCCCATCCCCCCCCTCCCACTCCCCTCCCCCCTCCCCCTTCCACGGAGGGGCGGGGGAGGGGGAATGCGGCGAGGAGCGCGGGCAGTGGGAGGCCAGCGGGAAGCGGCAGGCTCGTGTCGTGGCGACCCCGGCGCTGAGCTCTGACACGGCGTGGATCGCTCCTGACCTGGAGGATCGGCGGCTTGCCGCTCGCGGGGTCGTTCCAGGTTGGCCCATTCTGGGCCCCTGTCAGAGCTTACCCTGGAATCCCCGCGGCGGGGTCGCCGCCGCGTCGACTGGGGAAACAAGAAAAACGCTATACACATAAACTGGGGGAGCTCCACGGCGGCTTGGACCGGCAATCGACCCTTTTGCCTGGCGAGCGGAGCGCGCCAAAGACGGCGCTGCACGCGGCGCTGGAGGCGTCGCCAGTGGGGCCGAAACGCCGACTCAAGAAACACGGAATCGCGCTTTCCTCCCTGAATCGACACGCCACGGACCCACTGTACCGAGGCGAGGGCATGCTGGAAACGCGCAGGGCGTGAGGAAGCGGGAGGAGGAAGAAGAGGTGAGGAGGAGGGATGAAGAGGACGAGCTGAGGAAGGAGGAGGAGGAGGCGGAGGAGGAGGCGGAGGAGGCAGAGGAGGGAGGGAGGGGGAAGGGAGGGAGGATGGAGGTGGGAGAAGGGAGGGCGAGAGGAAGAAGAGGAGATGGGGAGGAGGAGAGCAGGACTTTCTGCGTCTACTTACACAACTTCTGCCTCTACCTTCCCCTCCATTCAAGCTTGCTTTGCTTCATGCCACTGGCCTGGTAGCGCCGACCCGCAGGAATCGCATGATGAATGGAGGTGGAGGCCGTGGGGTGATTGGAGCAAGAGGAAGATCAGCGTTCGGCTCGCAGTCACAATGACATTTGCTTAGTTCACAGCCTCGACGCTCTACACGCTATACTGACATGTTCAAAGCGATGCTCTCACTCGGCCAGCCAATACCGACTTGGCCAACCTGCTAGTTTACAGAAAAGTGCGTGTGCTTCTCTGAGCGATTCACAATACATCATTCAGCATAAGTGTACAGTGCCAGCAATAAAAGTGAGCGCCACGCTGTCGATCACGCGCCACGCGCCCTGTGCCACGCTTCTGCTTCGCATGATAGGGAGAAAGAATTGTGTTAGGCGGTGAGGGGGGTATTTTGTTGGTACGACTGCCTTTTGGGACAGAAGTACTCAGCGTGTTTCCTGGCCCTCATATACTGGGTGTGGCCGCATACTTCTGATGGCTTAGTTCGCAGTCGCAGGGACATTTGCGAGCCCAGATACCTCTCCTCTCAATCTGTTACGCTCAGTCTCAGTTGCCGCCCGCTCCGAGCGGGGAGAACCCACGCACCTCGCCAGATGAGGCATTTTGCCACATGCTGTGGTTTGTCGTGTGCGTCTTACTCCCCACTCTCTCTGTCAGTTCTGGCCTCGGTACTTTACACGTGACTCCCTTATATCTAAGCTGCAGGCCAGCCTGCTACAGTGGCCGCCTTAAAAGTCAGTGCCACACTGACGTTACCTGTTTGCTCTGCGGCACGTCTTTGCTTCACACTGATAAAAAAAACCGAGAGAACGTGATGAGGTATGTGTTGGGTGTTGGGAAAACGTACCGATCTTTAGAAGAGGCATGTTGCCACCTGCGATGGTCTGTCAGTTGCTTTCCTCTACGCATTTCTTCAATTCACTGCCGCCGCCAATCGCATATCTGCCATTGGTTTCTCTTTACTGTTGCACCCCTGACCCACATGCCTGTAATTGGACATCTTCTCCCAACCGTGCTCTCAGTCATTCTACAAGAGCTGCGAGGCTGCCCGTAGAGCTCCCCTAGGCTAGAGGGTAGAGCACAGCAAGCTTAAACCCCGTACATATTTCCTCCTATGGCCTATCTGGCCATGAGACGGTGAAGATGCCCCCCTCCACCGGGGAGACGAAAAGCGGGCCTAAACCTGGCGAACGAACTGCAGGCATACCAAGGCCAGAGGGACTTGTTGACAATGCTGCTCTAACTAGGCCAGCCACTGCCGCCTTGGCCAGCCTCGAGTTTGCAGCACAGCACATCTGCTGCACGCCTGAACCTATAAATCGGGAAGTGGCGGAGGGTACGTCAAGTTCGCGTCATGTCGACCCCGGCGTTGGTTCCTGACACCGCGGGGATCGTTCAAACATGAACGATCGGCCGATCGTTCAACGACGGGCCGATAATGGGCCACGGGCGGCGTTCAACCTTCAACGCACGCGCTGGGGTCGCCGCTGGTCGACACGACGCGAACCTGCCGTATACGTTCTTGGGATGGGGGATGGGATATCAAGGTAGCACCAAACACTGCAGCCTTTGCGCCATCCTTCTGCGCCGCTCTCTCGTAGCCTGTTGTTGTTGCGTTTGCGCGCGTATTTCGTCCCTCTCCGTTCGGTTCGTCTTCGGCACTGTTGTGACTAAGGTAGTACTGAGCTTATCGTTCGATCAGTCCCTCTCCCCTCACACCGCCTGGCTGGCGCATATGGTGTGCCCCTCAGGGCTCTCCGCTGTTCATTTTCTGCCCGCCCATCTTAGGTTCTGCTGCCCCAGCTAGGCGTAATTTGCTCTTTGTGCCAGGCCTGGCGTAAATCGGCCGTTGCTTTTTTCAGCATCCTTCCATGACGCTGTGTGCTTTAGCATGAAGCCCGAGCAACGCCAACAGAGGAGAAGGAGGATATTGAGGAAGGAGGTAAGGAGGAGGAGGAGGAGGGAGGAAGATGACGAGAGAAGAGAAGAGGAGGAGGAGGAGGAGGAGGAGGAGGAGAATGAGAAGGAGGAGAAGGAGGAGGAGGAGGAGGGAGGACGAAAGGAGGAGGAGAAGGAGGAGGAGGGACGAAAGGAGGAGGAGGAGGAGGAGAGGAGATGGAGGAGGAGGAGAGGAGGAGGGAGGGAGGGAGGGAGGGGGGTGAGGGAGGGAGAGAAGGACGGAGGGAGGGAGGGAGGGAGGGAGGAGGGAGGGAGGGGGAAGGGATGGGAGGCCAGGCCATGCTGGAGACGCGCAGGGCGGGGGTCGCGGAGCCCGCAGCGCCTGCATCCCGCCGCCCCTCTGCCGGCCAAGAGGCCCGCCGCGCCGCGCCGAGCAAACGCGCCCGGTCCTGCGCCGCGGGGTCGCCACACATCTTGGCGAAGTCGGCGCACTGGTAGCAGACGCCGTACTGGAGGGCCGACAAGAACGAGGGGCAGAGGATCGAGGTTCTGGGCTCGAGGAGGTCTTTTCTTCAGCGCAAGCTTCCGGAGAAAGGGAGGAGGGGAAAGGAGTAGGGGCGCGAGCATCCGATGAACAACCACCCACCTGTCACTACTCAGTGCAACGGCCAGGCTGCAATGCAGGCGAGCAGTTTGCGGCTCGAGGAGGTTTGTTGCCCACTTCGGCCTCCAGGTGCCCCTTTCTCGGGCCCCTGGCTGAGACACTGTACCAAGAAGGACCCCAGAAGGGGTCGGGGGACAGATGTTGATCCCCAAGCTCGGCACCCGTCGACCCCCTTCCCCCCTCTGCTCCAAGCGACTCAATCCCATCTCCATCCTGCCCCCTCCTCCATCCCTCTTCCGTCCCTCTACCTCCCCCTCCCCCCTCCTCCTTCTCTTCCTCTTCCTCTTCATCCTGGTCGGTCTCCTCCGATCTCTCCCTCCTCTCTCGTCCACTGTCTCCTCTTCCACCTCGTCTTCCTCTTCCATCTCCTCCTCCTCCTCCTCCTCCTCCTCCTCCTCCTCTTCCTCATCCTCTACCTCATCCTCCTCAGCCTCCTTTTCCTCCTCCTCCTCCTCCTCCTCCCCTTTCCTCCACGTTGGACACATGGAACAGAGCTGCTGCCAGCGCGACCCATAATGCTGCCCGGTCTATTGAAAAACTGTTGCCGCGAGTACTGTCTGCAGCAATCCCACCTCGGCGTCCTCCCTCCTTCCTCCTGCCCCCTCGTCCATCCTGCTTCCCTCGTCCACCCTGCCATCCCCTCGCCCTCCACTTCCTTTTCCTCCTCCTCCTCCTCCTCCTCCTCCTCCTCATCCTCATCCTCCTCCTCCTCTTCCTCCTCCTCATCCTCCTCCTCCTCCTCCTCCCCCCCTCCAGAGCAGCCCGCATCGTACTCCTCCTCCTCCTCCTCCTCCTCCTCGTCCTTGCCCATCTTTGCTGTCCCTCCTCCTAATCCTCCTCCTCCTCCTCCTCCTCCGATTCTTCCTCTTCCGTCTCCTCCGCTGCCGGTCAGCTCCTCCCCGACTACCCCAAATAATCATATGCAACGTGGCTGAGGGCTCTGATCCTGCGACCGGCCCGACAACGAAACTAAACGGCACCGCTGCCGCTCCAGGACCTCTCCAAGGGAGTTGTCTGACCAGAACTCAGAGCAACATCCAGCCGTCGAGACGAGAGTTCTCCTGGACGAGCAGCGGCGCCAGTATCTTGTCAAGAGGAACAGCAAACAGCATAAATGAAGAGGCCCCAGGAAACACACATAAATACACACAAATAAACAGATTCCCCATCTGTTCCCATATTTTTGGGGTTATTGTCTTCCCCCCACTTCCCATACTTTCCCATATTTTGGGGAATCGACGATTAATTCTGTCTGTGTGTTTTTGTTGTTTCCCCTCTTGAAAAAGCTGCTCCAGAAATTCGCACTGATTTCTTGGATCAGCGCTGGACCCCCCTCCCTGGCACGCGCAGCACGCTAGGCGGAGGCGCGGGAGGCGCCGCCAGGGAGGCCCAACGTCGATCCAAGAGAAACGCGCGAACTTCAGAGAAGTTCTCTACACTTCGAAAACACTTCGACGACAGCGGTCCTTGTCCATCCACTGCTCCCCAACTATCTCTCATGCGTGATACGCAGAATTGCTGCGGACCGCCGTCTTGCCACTGACCAGACGGAGACGAAGGCGCAGCAACGACGAACGGCGGTTTTGGATGCCCGACATGGGAACGGAAAATCATTGGTACAACACCCAAGTACACATGCTGCCCCAAACCAGCAGCGGCCGCTGTTGGGCAGGCGGCCTTCTGTCTCCCATGCACGGCGCCGCCGCTTCCGAAACGTCAGGCAGGTCGACAGCGACCGATTCTGGGTCTCTGGCGGCGTGCAACGTTAGAAAACTGGCGGCGGGGTCGCAGGTCGATACGTCGCCCATTCTCGGCGCGCACAGGGGGGTGGGGGGAGGGGGGAAGGCTTCTCCCAAGGCGGCTGCCGTTCAGAAGGCGCCGGCCGCCCTTCTAAGAGGCAGCCGCAGATCACACCGAGCGATCCTCGCAAGAGAACAGGGAACCAACCCGTGCGTCCGCAGGTAAGGCCCCGCGAGGGCCGCAGACTGCGGGCACCTCGGTGTCACTTGGGGGGGGTCCACATTTGGAAAACGAGTGGGAAAAGAACAAGGGGAAAACGAGGATACAGATGGGCTGCTGAAATGCAGAACACTAGATGAGGAACCAATGAGAAACAATGCAAGTATCCCTGACCCTTGGGAAAGGGGACCTGAAGTAGGAGGGCCAAGAGCGCTAGTGATACGCGGTCTGTTCTCCAAATGTCTCAAACCGAACCACTTTGAGATGTCATCCCTGATGCGAAAACGGGGACCTCCGTGAGGCCACGTCTTCATCGTGTCATTCGGGTGAGAGGTTCTTTTGCTCTCGGTGAACCAAGGCCCTTTTGGGCACCATTTCGATCACGCCGAGCGGTCCTTGTCCATCCACTTCTCGATGCAGACGTTGTCGGTGCACTTCCCGCCGGCCCCCTTCGGTGGCGGGGCGCCGTCGCAGGCGGCACCGCCGGGCGCGTGCCGCCCGCGAGCTCGAGGCGAGAGGAGAAGAGGAGGGGGCGGGTGAGGAGGAGGGGGAGGATATCATATAGAGGGGCCCAGCGACACACAAATAAACGGACACACATCCCAGGATCCCCTATACTTTATTGCATTTTCTGGGCTTTCCTCTTCCCCCCCCACTTCCCATACTTTCCTATGTGTTCCTGGGGAGTCAACGATTAATTGTGTCTGTGTTTCCCCCTTCCTGATATTAGAGGGCAGGAATCCACCCCCACAAGAAGCAACCCGACAAGCGAAGCCGTTTTTGGACACGCACGTCAGGAAGGAATCGAACAGGGCAGTGCTGTTTACTGAACGCCCATGGCCGTTTAGTAAACGTCAAATGTTAGGGTATGGGTGGACTTTCCTCCCCTGAGACATGGTGATGAGGTGGATGGCTCGCGTCTCTGCTCCGTTTCAATCCGCACCCCATCTTTTGACTTTGCGTCACCCGCTCCCTCCCCCCGTCCGTCCCTCCCGTCGTCATCCCCCAACCCCCATCGCTTCCTCCATCCCCCCTCGGCATACCAAACCCATGGCCTTGCAGTTGTTGCAAGTCTTCCGGCAATGGATCTCCCCCTGGCCACCATTGTGCTTCGTGCACATCTCCTCGATGCCTGGGCGGGTGTCTGAAGATCGCGGTACCAGGAATCCCCTCCTCCTCCGCCCCTCCCGACTCTGCTCCTCCGCTCCCCTCCCCCCCCCGGTTTTCCTCCTCGCCGCCTCTCCTCCTCATTATCAATATCTCCTCTACTGCTGCTCCTGTTCAGTGCCACTTCTTCTCATTGGCTCGCCTCCTCCTCCTCCTCCTCCTCATCATCATCATCCCCCTCCTCCTGCTGCTGCTCGATCGTCATCCTGCGCCCCCCCTTCTCCTCCAGGGATGGAGGGAGGAGTGAGGGATGGGGCAGATGCGACGGCTCCAGCGATCGTCTGCCCAACCGCAGCAATTGAAGACTTGGGTCGGCAGGCATTCGAAACTAGACCTGTCGAAACGCGGCCGCTGTTCTCCGTCCCATCATGCATCGCCTTGTTCCTCGGCCTGGTCCCCCTCCAACTCCAACTCATCATCTCCCCTCCTCCCTGATCAGCCTTCCATTATACTGTATCTCATATCAGTCGCCAGTCCGATGTCTTGCCTCATCCTCCTCATCCCCCGTCCTTCTGCTGCGGATCCTGAGCACCCCTGTCTTCCTCATAGCAAGCGCCTCCTCGTCTGACCACCAAACAAATCAAGAGGGCGGGCGGAACACGTCGACTCCAACTTCCCCCATGCTCGCCCTGAAGCCTGAACAATGGATCACTGTACCAATGAAGGCGGTCGGTGAAAACATACGGCGCTCGCCCTACCGCCGCGCACTTACGATGGAAGCTCCCACCTCAACGCCGCCCGCATTCGCCTTAACGACTTCGACCAACACACGGATGGGGAAAACATTGTCTTTCAACGCGCGGCCCTCCAATCATCGCCTCGCACCTCCGTCATGAAAACATGATCCCGACAGGTTCGAGACTGGAGGGCGGCGCCTCTCCAGATTGTGGCCGTCGCCTGCACGTCGCGCACATTCGTTGCAAAACTTCCCAGGGTTTGGCGATTCCGTTTCCATGAAAGGACGAACTTTGACATAAACATAGACACTCGGATGTCCGCGTGGATTTCTCGGATCGGCGTTGGACCCCCGTCAGGGGCGGCGCCTGAAGCGCCGCCAAAGGGGTCCAGCGCCGATCCCAGAAATCCACGCGGACCTCCGAGTTGTTCTATGTATGCAATCGGTCGTCCCCCTACTCCATGTCGTGGTTCTCGCCTCAACGCCTCACGTGCTCGTCCTGCACTCTTCCAGCCGTCGAGCGGGTGGAGGGCGTGGTGCCCTTTTCAACGTCCGCCCGCGTGCCTCGAGGCACGGCACGGGATGGCCTTCACTCCCTTCGAGCCACTCTGCGCGGAACTCCGAATCCCACCAGCCCGTTAGGGCGTGAATGGTTTACAATAGGGGCCCGACCACAAGAAACCCTGAGGCCCCAAGACGTCCATGGATGTTTGGGGTGGGAACGTCACGCTTTCCATGGCAACGCCCTCGAAAACCACGAAATCCAGGGCACCCTGGAGGCAAGCAGGGTGTTTCTTGGCATGGGTCTCCACTGTAACCCCCTTCGGACCATCTGCGCTGTACTCTGAAACCCACCAGCCCGTTAGGGCGTGAATAGTTCAGGCGCGTTCCGTTTCAAGCCCCCGTCTCCCCCCCTTCGGTGACGGGTACCCCCTCCTGCTGGACCTGGACGGGGCACCTCGCGAGGGCTTGGAGCGTCCAGGTGGATGTCGATCAAAGAAGGCGGGGGGGGGGGCTTGCGTACCCCCCCCCAGGAACCAAACTGGGCCCAAATACTAACGTCGAGTCAATGATGTGCGCCTTCCTGCCGAGGCCGTCTAAACTGACCCCAAAAGGCGCCCAGGAGGCCCCAAGAGGCCCCAAAGAGGTCAAGAGACCCCCACGAGGCTTCACGAGCCCCCCCCCAAGCACCCAAGACGCTCCAAGAAGCCCCCGCGACCGCCAAGAGCCCCCCCAAGACGACGCCGCACGAGGCCTCCAAGAGGCTATCAAGAGAAGTTTGAAGAGCCATCGGGAGGCATCCAACCTGAGGCCTCAAGCCCCCCCCGAAGCACCCAAAGCGCTCCAAGAGGCCCCCGTGACCGCCCCACGCCGCCGCACGAGGCCCCCAAGAAGCTAACAAAAGACATCTCAAGAACCATCGAGAGGTCCAGCATGACCTGAGATGGCCCCAGGGACCGTCCTGGAGCTATGCTGGGCGCCACCTGGGCCCTCTATGAGAACCCGGGGGCCGGCCCAAGAAACCAACAGCACTGAATCCCCGCTGGCTTCGCATGCTGTTGCAACTCTAGCCGCTTCGGACATAAGAGCGCTCAATGCGGCCCAAGAGGCTCACAACATCGCCTCAGGACGGCACAAGGCATTACAAGAAGGGCTTAGGGCTCCCCAAGACGGCCCCAAGAGCCGCCCAGACGGATCACACACTAATCGTCATTGCGCACCTATTTCCTCAATATGACCTTCGCTGTCGCCAGGAGGACCCCTCGGATGAACCCAATAGGTCCCAAGAGACGCCTACGAGGCCCCCAGCAAGCCCCAACACTGCCCCAGGATCCCCGCGGACACCTAAAAGGGCCCCAATCATTCCCTTCGAGGGGCGTCCCAAGGGATCGCACGTTGCTTCTAGGAGGCCGTTCCTCCAAACACGGTGGCGGGTCTGGCCTACGGCCACCAATACAACTGTCGCCTGGGGCGTCCGTGTCGTGTCCCACCAGAAACCTCAAGCTACCCATGGATCGGAAGTGGGTGGAAACATGACGTAGGACGGCGTTTGAAGTAGATTGGGTCTCCGTCCCAAGAGGAAGGGACGAACAAGGGGAAGCCACTCGATCATTGAATTAGGAAGGCGCCTAAAGTAGACCGAAACCTAGGAGTCCCAAAAAACATATTTTCAACGACCCATGGGTACAACCACCAATACAACTGTCGCCTGGAGCGTCCGTGGCATGTCTCACCAGAAGCCTCCAGCTGTGCAACAGCTACACGGACGGAGATCGGATCATTGTCAGATCGGGGCTCGTGCTTGAGACGTCCTAGGGCTTTTTGTTCATGGCCAGGCGCATAACATTGGAAACCACTTGCACGGAGAGAGGGCGGTTCTTTTCTGAGGAGGGGCTCTCGCTAAAATCATGGATGGCATCTCCATTTTGCATCGGGCGTCCGTCTGACGTGCAAAAGAATGGGCAACCGTCTTGCAAGTGGCCACTTCCCGCAATGACGAACATCAGGCTTAGGGCTTGCGAGGAGAACATGTTAATCGGGCGGGCGTATCACAGAATCCTTGATGCGTCTCTAACTTACTCTGGACCTGTCATTCCTCCTCATCTTGATCTTCCTGCCTCTGCTGCTGGTCCTGCTCTAACGCCCGATGCCACAATTCTATATATATATATATATATATGTAGGCCTCAGCACCCACCATGCACCCCCCTTTTCTCTTGGAAGATGCCAAGAAAAAAGGGGGGCGGGTGCGGTTGGAGTTTCGGGTGTCGCGTCGTGTTGTGGTGGTTGGATCTGGAGTACTTCTGTGTGTTGAAGACGGAGGGAGCCTGTTGAGTATCGGGTGTTGTGTTGGAGAAGGAGGCTGTGGAGTACTGGGTGTTGTGGTGGAGACGGAGGGAGTTGAGTAGAAGGTTATTTTCAAGTTCGGCTTGGGGAGGGAGCCTGTGGAGTATCGGGTGTTGTGTTGGAGAAGGAGGCTGTTGAGTACTGGGTTTTGTGTTGGAGACGCAGGGAGTTGAGTAGAAGGTTATTTTCAAGTTCGGCTTGGGGGAGGGAGCCTGTTGAGTATCTGGTGTTGTGTTGGAGAAGGAGGCTGTTGAGTACTGGGTTTTGTGTTGGAGACGCAGGGAGTCGAGCCAAAAAAAGTCTTCCAAAAAAGAGCGTCAAAATGGAGTCCGAAAATCGTGGGAATCATATATAAATTCATATATAACCATGGGAACGTAGAAGGTTATTTTCAAGTTCAGCTTGGGGAGGGAGCCTGTTGAGTATCGGGTGTTGTGTTGGAGAAGGAGGCTGTTGAGTACTGGGTGTTGTGTTGGAGACGGAGGGAGTTGAGTAGAAGGTTATTTTCAAGTTCGCTTGGGGAGGGAGCCTGTGGAGTATCGGGTGTTGTGTTGGAGAAGGAGGCTGTTGAGTACTGGGTGTTGTGTTGGAGACGGAGGGAGTTGAGTAGAAGGTTATTTTCAAGTTCAGCTTGGGGAGGGAGCCTGTTGAGTATCTGGTGTTGTGTTGGAGAAGGAGGCTGTTGAGTACTGGGTGTTGTGTTGGAGACGGAGGGTGTTGAGTAGAAGGTTATTTTCAAGTTCGGCTTGGGGAGGGAGCCTGTTGAGTATCTGGTGTTGTGTTGGAGAAGGAGGCTGTTGAATACTGGGTGTTGTGTTGGAGACGGAGGGAGTTGAGTAGAAGGTTATTTTCAAGTTCAGCTTGGGGAGGGAGCCTGTTGAGTATGGTGTGTTGTGTTGGAGAAGGAGGCTGTTGAGTACTGGGTGTTGTGTTGGAGACCCAAGGAGTTGAGCCCAAAAAGTCTTCCAACAAAGAGCGTCAGAATTGAGTCCGGAAATCGTAAGAATCATATCTAAATTCATATATAATCATGAGAAAGGGGGGTTCTTGGTGGGTTCAGAGCGCTATATATAGAATTAGATACCATCTGAATGCTCTTTACCCTCTTCCCCCGAATATGACGTGCGCGGGATCCGCTCCCCTCCGTGTATTACAACGTACGCACAACATTTCAAACATGTGTCTCCTCCTGGCGAAGAACCCACTCCTTTCCGCTCGCGCGAAAAACTACCAACAAGACCGTTCACTGCACCCGGATTCGTTAGGGCGCTCCGCAAATACCCCTGCTACTGGAGCATTCGGAGGATTCCCCGATGGGGCCACGAAGCGCGTGAGGGCGTGCCAACATGGGAACGAGTACGCATGCGGGCCCTGCCACTGTGGCCTTCGGTGGAACTCCCTATGGGGCCACGAAGCGCGTGAGGGGTGTGCCAAACTACACCCGAGTAAGCAGGCAAGCCCTGCCACCCACTGGGGCCTTCGGCGGAGCTCCCTATGGGGCCACGAAACGTGTGAAGGGTGTGCCGCAGTGAGAATGATGATGGTAATAACGAGTATGAAGATGGGTGGTGCTAAAAACGACGATGATGATGATGATGATGATGATGATGATGATGATGATGATGATGATGATGATGATGATGATGATGATGATGATGATGATGATGATGATGATGATGATGATGATGATGATGATGGTGAAGACGACGATGCTGAAGACAAGGTTGCGGAGGACGAGGCGGAGGGAAGGAGAAGGAGGCGGTGGGGGAGGGAGGAGGCTTCTTAGAAGGAGGCTGTTTCGTAGAGGGCGCCGACCCTACGTCTACAGACAAGGCCCGCGCCCCGTCTACGAAACCGTGGAGATGTGGAGACGTCTTCCGGCCAGGAACCTCCGCCATGAAGCAGGCGGGTGCAGGGCGCCACCTGCAAATTCAAAACTAGGACCCCACACACAGGGGGGTTGGGAGCAAATCTGGTCTTTCTCGGTCCTTCGACGTTGTGCTGTGGATCCGAGTCCTTCCTCATCGTTGTCACCCCCCCTCCTTTCCCCTCCTCTGCCTTCTCCTGGTACTCCTGCTCCTCCCGCTCCAACTCCTGCTGCTGATGCTGCTCGTCCTTGTCCTCCTCCTTCAAAATTAAAATATCCTTTTCCTCATGCTCATCCGCCACATCCTCTTCCAATGCACGCGGCTCCCTGTTTCCGATTGCGATTAACACGATAGGGGCCCCCTTGAAACTCCAGGTCCCACCATGACGCGCGTCGGCGGATAAAAAATATACCAGGTCAATGTGAAGGGATGGATGGGCGGGATCGGCTGTCATATACATGGCGCGACCGCACCTAGCTCGTCTTTGCGGACAAGCAGACTAGCGATTCAACGATCCGTCCATTCAACTATACCGGGCAACGACAGAGGGTTGGAAGCTGGCTGAAATCACAACACCATCCGGCCTGCGAACCGCAGCCCCTGACCCAGACCGAAGCTTGGAAGCGCTCCCCGCTCTCCTCCATGAGGCCGCTCTTCCGCGGCCTCCGAGCCGCAGCTTGTCTTCCTCCCCCCTCGTCCCTGTCGTCATCCTCGTCTTGCTCCCCCCTCGCCCCCTCTCAACCCTCGTCCACGTCCTCGTCCTCGTCCTGCTCCCCCTCCCCCTCCCGCTCCCGATGGCAGCTCCTGCCCTCCCTCGCCCAGGAGCCTATTCCCTGCACTGCCCCTCCCCGACGCGCGGGAACCCACACGGCAGGGTGCTCTGTCGCACGGGGAGGCGGTGCAAGACACTGGCCTTGCATTGCATCTCTCACCCGTCGCGCACCGATCCGTGTCGAATCTGTGTCGAATCCGCGTGGAATCCGTGTGGAATCCGTGCCGAATTCACGTCGACTCCGCGTCAAACCCACGTCGGAGTACAACCTTGGACTGCCATCTACAGGACAGGGAAGGTCCCCCGAAGATGCAAAACCCACTGGCCCTGCAGCAGCGGTTGCCGAACGCCCGGCCGGCCCATCTTCGGCACGGAGGCCGCGTAGTCCTCGCAAGTGCTGCCGTCGACGTCTGAAGACCGTCTTATAGCTGCCAGGGGCGAGGCCGCCCCCATGCCCTCCCTCCGACGAGTCGGCGGCGCGGGCCCCCCTGGAGAGCCCTGCGACATCCGGCGGGCAAGAGCTGTGTCCATGTCAACTGAAACTTGGGAGTGTTGGTCCCCCTTCCCCCGAAACCCGAGTCGCACTGGATATGGATGAACATCGGGCCCCCGGAGGCCATGTTTATCCATGTCCAGTGCGCCTCGGCCTTGCGGCGCACCGTCCAAGGAAATCCCAGACGCACTGGATATGGACATGAGTATTGCCCGCATGCGACAACGCTAAGATCGGTATCACATCACTTCGGGAAAAAAAAAACCGAAGACCTTTGAGAACCGGCGACTCTGGAAAATGTGTCGAGCGCCGCTACCGTTACAGAGCAATCCAGAACGCTCTGAGAGCGGTCTGGAACGCTCTGGAACGCTCTGGGACAACTTATCCTGATGCTAGGCATACCTGAAGCCCCTGAGCTGATGGTCCACGTGCTTGGGTAGCACCGTTGACAGCGGACAAACCTGCTGCGAAAAGGCGTGGGTGTTCCGAACAAGACGGGCCGCGCCGGGTTGCCATTGGAAGCTGGGACTTGTTTTGTTGTTTCGTGGATAGTTCATATGATTCGCCTGCGCCCTTCCTCTTCGGTGGTCCATTCTATCATCCCACTGCCCAGAATGTTCCCCAACCATTGCTTGCGCTTAACTATGTGTTACTTGCTTCCCTAGAGATTTGGGTGGGCCCGACGAGAATATTCAACGCTGCTGCCCGTTGCCGCCGTGAGCACTGGGTCTGTCTTGCGAGGTGTCGCCACGCTGCCGCCCGTTACCGCCTCATTGCCGCCTCGTGCGCTGGGTCGGTCTGGCGAGTTTTCGCCACGTTGCCGCCTGTTGCCGCCTCGTGCGCTGGGAGGGTCTAAGAACGTTCATTGCCGCCTCTAGCTTGCATCGCGTATACTGCGCCGCATAGCTTACTCTACATAGTTGTTTGTGTTTAGTTGTTTCACCTCAAACGCTCACCAGCTTCAATCATGGCGCCGATACAGAACGGCTAAAAATATGGTTAAGGAAATTAATCCGCCGCTCGATTAGATTGAATCCGCTTCCCGTCATGGGGGCTATGCCAACTCTCATTGAAGCGCGCACGGAAAAAGGCTCGAAACGGTCTGAGGCTCAATCGCAAGAGGCACGTAAAGCAGCCTGCGACATTGAAAGGGTGACCTCGGAGCGAAGCCTGGCGCCCGCTGCGGATTACCCTACAGCTTCCACGCCGATCCCGGGGAAGAGGGACGAGGAGAGACGAAGAAAAAGAACAGAGAGAACGAAGAAAAAATAACAACAACATAAACGGGTGAAATCCGCCAGCCCCCCTGTGGGGCCACCATGCTGTAAGGGTAGGGTTTGCTGCTCCCTGCGTCAGTTCCAGTTTCCAGTTTCCACTGTTACAGTTCTGCTTCTTTCTGCTTTCTGTTCCTTGTTGATGGACCGCCCGGGGGGGGGTGAGCCCAGAAGGAACCCAGTTACCACGCCCGAGTCGCGTGCTCTGAATTCCCGGGGGGGGCGTGGGACACGACGTGGGACACACATATATATATATATATATATATATATATATATATATATATGAAAATCGCACCCCCGGAGCCATAAACCTTCGTAAAATACGCGATGCTTGCGTCCTCGAGGCAACAAGCGCTCGTACATCACGCGATATTCGCGTCCCCGAATCCATGAAACCGAATAAATTACTAGATATTCGCGTCTCCGAACCAATAAACCTGCGTCAATGATGCAAAATCTGCGACCCCGAAGCCATAAACCTTCGTACAGTACACAATATTCGCGTCTCCGAAACCAAAAACCTGCGTAACTGACGCCATATTTGCAACCCCAGAGCCATAAACCCTCGTAAATTACGCAAGACGCGCGTATCCGAAGCCATACCTTCGAAATACAACACCAATATCATCAGAATCTCAACTTGTCTTGCCGATGACTCATCGTCTTCGCGTGAATTCCCGACGCTGCTTCACGGCGGCGCCAAGGCCTATGATTTCGCTCTTGTATTGCTCATTATCCGAGAGAGGGGGCCGGCGGCAGGGGGCAAAACCCTTACGGATTAACAGACCATACTGCGACAGGAAAGGACAACAACGTACGCACGAGTCTTAGCTAGGACCGAGCGATTTTCGAACGGAAGCTTGTTCAGTGGTGGGACATAGCTTACACAACATGACTTGCACCTCATCGCTCCCGCATCCAGTGCAGTAGCCTACTTACTGTTTGGGGTCCAGGCTGGAGCTGACATGCTCTGAACATTCATCTTCGATGGGGGCACCAGTGAATCCGCCGATCCGGCGCGTGAGCTTCAGAAGGGCCTAAACGACAGCCTATCACCTGAGCCTCAGCTCTGCTCGGTGGGGCGGGGCCCAGGGTGGCGACGCCTGCGCTCAGCCCCGTGCTCCGCTTGATGGGCGGGGCTGGGACACTCAAGAACCAGCAGAGCTCCCGCCCCGGAGGCCAGAGGGCCCCAGCTGGCCGCCAGATATCCCCCAGAGGGCTCAAGATGCTCACGCGATGGCCCACGATACCCTCAAGATTGGCCCACAGCGCCCAAAAAGGCCTCCAAGACGGCCTCCGAGGCCTCCAAGAGGTCCTCTAGGAAGGTCCGAATAGGCTCAAAATGTTGACTTTCTAAACTGGCTTGATTTAGGGCGGGGTTTTCAGACTCAACCGACTCAACCTGTTTTTGCATCATCGTCATCATCATCGACATCATCGTCGTCATGATATTCATCATCGTCCGCCCTGGGCCGACGACGATTGTAATGATGGTGGTTATCAAATCGTAGTGCTGATGGTGGTGGCGATGGTGATGGTGATGATGGTGGTGCTCATCACATCCAGAATCACCATCATCACCATCACCATCATCACCACCACAACCGCCCTCACCATACCATCATCACCATCTCCATCATCATCATAATCATCAGCAGCATCATCATCACCATCCATAACATCAACATGTTCCAGTATGTTAGAGCTCCGTGGGAGCTCTAACATGGCTTGTTCGAGCTCCTACGGAACTCCAACATGGTATGTTAGAGCTCCGTGGGAGCTCTAACATGGCTTGTTAGAGCTCCAGCGGAGCTCTAACATAGCATGTTCGAGTATGTTAGAGTTCCCTGGGAGTTCTAACATGGTATGTTAGAGCTCCGTGGGAGCTCTAACATGGCTTGTTAGAGCTCCAACGGAGCTCTAACATAGCATGTTCCAGTATGTTAGAGCTCCCTGGAAGGTCTAACATGGCTTGTTAGAGCTTCCAACGGAGCTCTAACATAGCACAATCGAGTATGTTAGAGCTCCCTGGGAGGTCTAACATGCTACGTTCGACCTCCCATGTTAGAGCTCCCTTGGAGCTCTAACATACCGAGCTCCAACGGAGCTTTAACAAATCATGTTAGAGCCCCGTGGGAGCTCCCTGGGAGCTCTAACATGGTATGTTCGAGCTCCGTGGGAGCTCTAACATGGTATGTTAGAGCTCCCTGGGAGCTCTAACATGGTATGTTAGAGCTCCGTGGGAGCTCCAACATGGCTTGTTAGAGCTCCAACGGAGCTCTAACATAGCATGTTCCAGTATGTTAGAGCTCCCTGGGAGAAATAACATGGTATGTTAGAGCTCCGTGGGAGCTCTAACATGGCTTGTTAGAGCTCCAGCGGAGCTCTAACATAGCATGTTCGAGTATGTTAGAGCTCCCACGGAACTCCAACATGGTATGATAGAGCTCCCTGGGAGCTCTAACATGGTACGTTAGAGCTCCAACGGAGCTCTAACATAGCATGTCTCAGTATGTTAGAGCTCCCTGGGAGCTCTAACATGGCATGTTAGAGCTCCAACGGAGCTCTAACATGGCTTGTTAGAGCTCCAACGGAGCTCTAACATAGCATGTTCCAGTATGTTAGAGCTCCCTGGGAGCTCGAACATGGTATGTTAGAGCTCCCTGGGGGCTCTAACATGGCTTGTTAGAGCTCCAACGGAGCTCTAACATAGCATGTTCGAGTATGTTAGAGCTCCCTGGGAGCTCTAACATGCTATGTTCGAGCTCCCATGTCAGAGCTCCTGGGAGCTCTAAAATACCGAGCTCCAGCGGCGCTTGAACATAGCATTTTAGAGCTCAGTGGGAGCTCCCTGGAAGCTCTAACATTGTATGTTAGAGCCCCGGGGGAGCTCTAACATGGCTTGTTAGAGCTCAAACGGAGCTCTAACATAGCATGTTCGAGTATGTTAGAGCTCCCTGGGAGCTCTAACGTGCTATGTTAGAGCTCCGTGGGAGCTCTAACATGGCTTGTTCGAGCTCCAACGGAACTCTAACATAGACTGTCGAGTATGTTAGAGCTCCCACGGAGCTCTAACATACCATATTAGAGCTCCCATGTTAGAGCTCTCTGGGATCTCTGAAATACCGAGCTCCAGCGGAGCTCTAACATAGCATGTTAGAGCTCAGTGGAGCTCCCTGGGAGCTCTAACATGGTATGTTAGAGCTCCAAAGGAGCCTAACAAGTGTTAGAGCTCCCACGGGAGACTAGAGCTCCCTTGGAGCTCTAACATGTATGTTAGAGCTCCGTGGGAGCTCTAACATGGCACGTTAGAGCTCCAGGGAGCTCTAACATAGCATGTTCCAGTATGTTAGAGCTCCCTGGGAGCTCTAACATGGTATGTTAGAGCTCCGTGGGAGCTCTAACATGGCTTGTTAGAGCTCCAACGGAGCTCTAACATAGCATGTTCGAGTATGTTAGAGCTCCCTGGGAGCTCTAACATGCTATGTTAGAGCTCCCATGTTAGAGCTCCCTGGGAGCTCTAACATACCGAGCTCCAACGGAGCTTTAACATATCATGTTAGAGCTCCGTGGGAGCTCCCTGGGAGCTCTAACATGGTATGTTAGAGCTCCGTGGGAGATCTAACATGGCTTGTTCGAG